TCGTCTTCTCCCCTTAGGAGTGTACCCTCCCTCTGCTTCTTTCTCTGAGGACACTTATGACAGCATCCAGGATTCACCCTGATAATCCAGGATCATCTTCCCATCTCAAGAGCCTTCAGTGAATCATGTCTGCAGTGACCTTTCTCCAAAGAAAACTTCAGTGACAGATTCCATTATCAGGACTTGATGTCTTAGGGACCACTCTCAGCCTACGACACCAGGTAGGACAGCACAATAATCCCCATTTAGCTGAGAAGGAACCTGAAGCCCAAATGAAATGAAGTGAGCTGCCTGAGGTAAGATACAAGGAGAAAGTGTGTCATATATATATGCTGGTTGCCAAAATTACAGAAGCCTCTGAACTTGTAGGTAAGGCCATGGAGGCTGGAGGTAGAACCATGTACACAAAAGAGTGGGGAGGTGGGTGCTGCTGCTTCTGGTGGTGTGATGGGGAGAGTCACCTGGTCAGCCCAAGTGGGAAGTGCTGGCATCCAGGTATGTGCCCACCTGAGCTGTGTCCAGCCTACAGTCGCCAAGCAATGGGTTCTGGGCCTCAGGGACTATGATGGAATGGGGAAGGCACTGTGAGGGTATGACACATTTCCCTGAGATCAAATTGTGGCACAGACAGGGTTATCATTTAACTGGTGACAACCACGCTCAACAAAAGACTGCACCAACAATTTCTAAAGAAAAAAAAAATCACTGGGAAATTATTGGAATAATTGAACGAAAGATTGGTGCTAGAATCTATATCACTTCAAAGGCAGTTTTACAATGAACTATATGTAATTTACTTTATTTAGAGAACCTACTTTACAAATTTTGACTCATATATTAATTTTGGTTACTGGACCAGTTGTTAAGGTTCATTTGTTGTTTAACATTTAACATCACCTGCAAGTGACAGAGCTCTTGAGCAGGTCACTTGGGCTCCAGGGCAGGGGACATTCAGAAGAAACACTTGTTGGCCGTAGTTCTCCAGGGGAGTTGATGTTCTTGGCAAGGTCTTGTAGCTCTTTAGCTGTTCCCATCTTTCTAGATCCCCTGTACTGTGAAGTCCTGTCTCTGCCTCTCAAGAGAAGCCGACTACAAGACAAAGAGCTATCGCAGCCTGAAGAACTGCAGGTCATGAGATGGTGCAAGCAGAGCAGCAGTGCATCAAAGAGGCTGGCCAGGAGCCCTGGCTCTAGTGACCAACAGACTCAGGCTGAGAGCAACGCTCTGCCACCAACCTGGCAGAGCTTCTGTCTTTCCCTCTGTACCGTGTGATAGAGGGCTCGGCCTGTCTCAGGTATCATGTGGGTAAAATGAGAAAACACCTGTAAAATGCACTAAGACACTCCCAGGGGTCATTTCTGAATTATATGATGTGAGTTTTACCATCACCTTAGAACTTTTCCATATTCTTTATTTACAATGAGCATATACATTTAAAGAACAAAACCAACAAAGCTGGTTTCAGGGGGAAAAAAGCAGGGAAGTGCAATATGATGCAGGGTGCAAGCCTTGCTCATTAGAGGTCCTGGCTGAAGCTACGGCTACTTTAGGACACGGCTCTGCCCCACTGGCCTTTTCTTAATAATAACAGCTGCTATTCCTAACCCAGCACGTTATACACACATGGGTTCATCTCACTGTTTTAACAACATTATCAGGCAGGCATTGTTGATGTTTCCATTTTACAAATGAGTCAGCCAAGGCACAGAGAAGTGTGGGGATTTGTCTGGGCCATACAGAGAGGATCTGGGAATTCCAGGGCCTGGTCTGTGACTATCTGCTTCCCTGGTATGCCAACCCAGCCTTTGAGGGGAGGCACGCCGCCTTCAGGAAGGGTGCAGGGGCCCTGCTCTTGGCTGACTTCTTCTGGCAGCAATTGACTACTGGTGTAAACCATCTGGGGGCCATGTGGCCTGATAGCTGAAGAGGCTACCACTTGGACATACTGTGGGAGGGTTGTCCCTGATGATGGAGAAGGAGCAGGCTAGGTTATTCCTGGGACAGGTGTCCCCAGATTCTGCATCACACTCATGAGGGGCTGCACTGGCTCCTCTGGGTACCACTGGGGTGCAGAGGCAGCTCAGAGGCATGGCACAAGCCCTGGGTTTGGAGTCAGGGTCTTGGTTTCCACTCCCCACTCTGCCATGCAGCAGTCAAGCAGCTTGACAATCAGTCAAGACAGCCCATGCCCTCTTTTGGAACCGTGAAACAAGAGGGTTTCTAAGACTCACATTCTTTGAGTGTCTTAATTCCACAAACAAAAAGCTCACGGTTAAAAATGTCATCCAGGAACATTAAAAATAAATTCCCATTCTCCGTGAAACAAGTTCCATCTTACCCCTCCTCAGGCTCCCTAACTCTGGTATTTTTATTCCCCTCAAAATAACCTTTTCCAAAGGTACCTGCTAACGACTACACTGACCTTTCTGTGGAGAGGATGCTTTCATGCTCTGCAGGAAGTCCCCATTAGCACTTGGGAAGAGACACGCTGTTTGCATCACAGCAGAAGTCAGACAGGCCCTGGGAGGGCCGAACACCATGGCAAAACCACAGAGTGACCATCTGACCAAGGATGTCTGGGACACCATGTCTCCCAGACAGCTTCAGTCAAGGGTAGGGTCATGATTCACAGGCAGCTCTCCCTCTTTTTTTCGGTGGAGGGGAAATGGGGTCTTGTTATGTTGCCCAGACTGGTCTCAAACGCCTGGACTGAAGAGATTCTCCTGAGTAGCTGGGATTACAAGTGTGTAGCACTATACCCAGCTTTCTTTTCTTTGTGATTGTCATTAACGTGGATCACAAGGAGACCATCATGGGTTCACTTGGATACTCTGGTCAAGAACCAAGAAGAACAAAGCTGACTTTTGAAAACACATAATTAGTGTAAAATCATTTGGATTTAAATCCAACTGAGCTACTTTCCATCCTCTATTTCAGACATGCTCTGTGATCTCCTCAGTAGAAGGGTGGCAATGCATTCTTACAGGTGGAGGGGAACAGGGCGGGGTGGGATCCCTGAGGCAGAGAGACCTCTGTGGGAAGCAGGAAAGACAGGGAAGCAGTCAGGGTTCTTGAGAGGACTGGTGAGAATTCAATATGGGCAGAGGAAACAGTTTCCATTTCTGGCATCAACCCCAACTGGTAGATTGGGAGGCATGTTCTTAGGATGCCTGTGTATGAGAACTCTGGGGCATGTCTAAACCCACCTGGCGGGACAGCTGCCTGAGATTTCTCGGGCTGCCTGCTGTAACAGCAACACATGTGGTGGCTTGAAGTGACAAAAATGTATTCTCTCACTAATTGGAGAGGGCAGAAGCCATGTTCCCTCCAAAGGCTCTAGGGGAGAATCCACCCTTTCCTTTCCGGCTTCTGATGGTCCCTGGCATTCCTTGGCTTATGACAGCATCCCTCAATCTCTGACTCTGTCTTCACATGGCTTCTGCCCTTTGTGTCTCTCTGTATAAATCTCCCTCTCTTTTCTCTTATAAAGACATCAATCAGTCATTAGATTTAGGGCTCACCCCAAATCCAGGATGATTTCTTCTTGAAATCCTTAACTAATTGCATCTACAAAGACTATTTCTGGCTGAGTGTGGTGGCTCACACCTGTGAAGACTGCAGCAAAGCCACAGAACAACTGTCTACCACTCTAGAAGGCCAAGGTGGGAGAATCACTTGAGGCCAAGAGTGTGAGAGCAGCCTGGGCCAACACAGTGAGAACCTGTCTCTACAAAAAAATTTAAAAATTAGCCATGTGTGGTGGTGTGTGCCTGTAGTGCCAGCTACTCAGGAGGCTGGGAAGGTTGCTTGAGGCCAGTTCAAGGTTATGATGAGCTATGATCATGCCACTGCACTCCAGCCTGGACAGCAGAGTGAGACCCTGTCTCAATCCTGCTTAGCTTCCCAGATCAGAGGAGATCTGCTGCATTCAGGTGGCATGGCTGTAGATGAGACTCTGTCTCAAAAATAAAAACAAAACCCCAACTCTATGAGGGGACCCCCAAAAACTGGAATTATCTTTTGGCGGGCAGGCCCCTTATAGTACAGGCTTCCCCCACTAGGTTAAGTGTTCTAGGAACCCATCAGCATCAGTGTACCAGCTAGCATTGTTCTGAGAGGCTGTGTCCAGCTTCAGTGAATTTTTTTGGAGATTCTTTCAGTGCGTTTGCCCATTTTGTGACGGGTGTTTTTTGAGCACACCTGCCCACATCGTGTTGAGTATTCAGCAGTTTTTGACCAGAAACAGCATGACCCTCGTGTCCCACCCTCCCTATTCACCTAATTTAGCCCTGAGTGACTTTTTTATTTCCCTGGATGAAAGAAGTCCTCAAGGGGAAACGTTTTACCAAGGTGGAAGAAGTGAAACGGCAGAATCACTAAAAGGCATCCAAATGGACGAGTTCAAAAACTGTTTTGAGCAGTGAGAAAAGGGTCTCAATAGTTGTATTGCATCAAATGGAGAGTACTTTGGAGATGACCAAAGTTTAAACATGTAAGATTACACAATTGTTAATAAACAAATTGGTTTTTTTGTGTGTGTCAGGTCATATTCTCAGGTTCTGGATGGATACATATTTTGGGGGCCATTATTCAACCTTGTACAAGTGCCATGATGGTTTAGCAAGCTTGACACGCATTTGGGGCTGGGCAGGGATCATGCTCATGTCTTCTGTCAGCCATCCTGATCCAGTCCAAGCCTGTAGCTTTATAGATGATCACAGAACTAAGGCCCGACAATCAAAGGGTCTTGACCAGTGCTATATAACTAGGTAATGCCCCAGGAGACAAGAAGAAAGCAAGTCAAAGACACAGAATTGGGGTAGGAGGTAGGGAGGGGGAGGTGAAGGCTGCTATTTCGGCTGCGTAATAACTGGGAAGGGCATCTCTGTGTTGAAAACCTTTGTCCAAAGAGGATCTAGATGGGGCAAGAAGACAATCATCCAGGGAGGGAGAAAATATAGGAGTGTTAGAAGAATTAGAACCGCATGGAGGGTCTGTTTGCAAGGGGAATGTTTGCCTTTTTGTGGCCAGATGCTCGAGAGCTCCTCTCACTGGGCAGAAGCTGTTCCCGGTTGGTCCCCGGAAACACTGTGCTACAGATGCCTGCTGGTTGCCATGGTAAATGATGCTGATCTGAAGAAGTGAATAATGTGAGCGCTGGGGCGACAGTGGGATTACTCAGTGGTGAGAGAGACAACCAGGAGAGCCCAGAGCTGAGGAGGGAGAAGGCACCATTCTGTCAGCTGTGGCCCACTCCACCTTGGAGGGCAGAGCTTGAGCCAGACACCCAAGCCTCAGGTAAGAGACATAGATGGCCCTTCCTGGACATGGAAAAACGGCTGCTCCTTCCACATTCTGCTTGGACAAGGGTCACGCAATGGTAAACGAACAGTTAAAAATAGGGGGAATTCAGAAACAGAAAAGGAGGGGGAAAAAAATGAGGGAGATGGATCTGGCCCTACAAGCTGAGGATGCTGCGAATGTCTTGACAGAAAGCTCTCAAAAATGTCTGCGGTTGGGAATTCAGCCTGTAAAGACAGCCAGTGTCAGATAGGAGGCAAACAGATGATTTGGGTGTGCCAAGAAACAGGATTCCTTATTGCTCCTGATGGAAGGGTTGAAAGGTAGCTGTCTCTGTATCATAAGTAATGAATTAGTTATTATGGTCGGAAGTGCGTCTATAGGGGTGCGTGAGGTGGGGAGGATGAGTGTGTATAAGAGGACCAGCAAAGAGCACAGACATTCAGCCTCCTTCATGATAACCTTCCCTGGAAGGATCTGAGCACACTTGTCTCACCCCTATTGTCCCCATTTTCTGGGAAGACATTTTCAGCCAAATGGAGAGGAACTATTCCCCCTCCTAAGCATCTTAGATCACTGTCATCCTTAGAGAACAACAGGGTCTGAGGAATCACTCAAGGCTGTGCACCTTTCTGTAGCTTGAAGTACAGGCACAAACACAGCAGGGTGGGGGGCATCGGGGGGGATGCAAAAGGCAGCTCATAATGGCAATCGGTTTGGCTTAATATTCAATTTAGGTAAAATCAAAGCGACTGCTTTTTACTGTGTCATTGCCAACTAAACAAAGTTGTCTGCTTCCTGTGAGAGAGGAGGGGCAGGGGACGACGGAGGGGGACACCTTTTTGTGAATATACATAGGTTGGTGATGGCTGTCATTGGATTTTTGATTAGGGAAGATTTGGGGGAGGGGAACTCTTATCTCTCAGATAGGATTAAAGAGAAACTAAAAATTTTCAAGATGGCTCTCTCTTATCGAAGTGGGAGGCCTGGCAGTCCGGAGAGGGCTCATTTGATTTGTCTGGAAAAACGGCAACCAGCCATCTGTACTGGCACCTCATTCTGCAGTAATGTTCTGTTACTAAACCCTGCAGCCTCGCATTCGGAAGTGCAGTGGTTATGTGGCTAGGAGTCTTCTCTCTGCGTGTTAGCTGGGTAACCTCAGGTGGCTCATCTGTAAAACTGGAATCTAGCTCAGAGAGTGTCATGAAACATAAAGGAAATGTATTATTGTAAATGAAGCATCTAGCATCACCTGTGATACAGTACCCGCTCACTGTCAGGGGTTGCTACCATTATCAACATTCATAATGCCAGAAGCATTAGATACTAGTAGTTATGCTGGTATTAGAAGCTGATTATCTTGCCCTAGGAAACTAATTTCCTGGTTCCTCTGGCTTTGAGAAAACACAGCATGAGCAGAGGCTCTTGGGTAAAATCAGCTGCCAATGAGTGACGAAGTAAATCTCCACTCACCATGGGCAATAGAACTGGGAGTCTAAAAAAAGCAGTGGGCAGAATGTTCCAGATCACTGAACTCACAGCACTTGCAGCAGAAGCAGAAGGTCAAGGAGAGGAATTTCAGGTGAACCAATTGCCTGACATGGGGCCACAGAACTATGATGTTGAAGGTGGGGCCTCTGAGGTCCTACCGATTTCTCCTTTTACACATTTTCTTCTTCTTTTTACAAAGGGGATGAAGACAATGCTGTGTCTCAGCCAGGGTGGGACGTAGCTGGGGTCACATGGGTGTGTCTTCTTTATGGCACGAAGGCCACCAGCTTTGGCAGGGGACACCCCCGGTTTGAACGTTTGTTCTGCCATTTTCTTGCTATGCCTAAGTAATGTAACCTCTTGGCCTCCGCTTCTTTGTCAAATGGGGGGCAATACGGATGCCCAGCTCAAATGTTCAATAGATGGTAGCTATGGCCATGACTATGATCAAGAAATACTCAAATCAGGGGATGTCACTCTTCACTTTGATTCTGGTTCCAGAATCGGGATGAACATCGAGGTTGGGAATGTTTCTTATACGGGAGCCATCATCTCCTGGTCGTCCTCGAAGCCCTGCCTGGAGGACTATTACCATATAATGTATAGGCCCAACTGGAACAGCATCTTCTCTGGCTATCTTCACTACAGCTTCCACCACGAGGAGAAGGTGCCTCGAACCATCAGCTCCGTGGTGCTGGAACACCTCGCCCCTTCCACCCTCTACTTCCTGTGCATCAGCTGTAAGAAGGCGGCCTTCCCCTACAGGCCCAACTGCATCATGTTCCACACCCTGGATAAGAGTCCACTGGCAGCAGGGGGGTCCCTGGTGGACCCCCAGATCTCCCTTTGGGTGCTGATGGCCATCCTGCTGGCCTGCTTCACGGCTGTCTTGGCCTTCATCTGCCTTCAGTTCTGGTGCATCCGCTGCCATGAGCCTCGGTGGTCTTACAGAGCTGGCCACATGGAGGAGGCCAATGGGTTGGTGAGATGGCCCGAGGAGGCCCCGGCTCTGGGGCAGAGGGAGGAAGACCCGCAGGGGCTCCCACTGGTGGAACTGCCACGTAAGAACTCCAGAGCTGGGGCCGAACCCGATGCTGAAGCCGACCAGGACATTCCTGATGCGAGGGCCTTGCAGAGGGAGGGTGGTGACCGACCCGCCGTACTGCCCCATTGTGGGGAGTGAGGCGGGGGAGGAGATGGCTCACATCCTGTAGCCTAAAGCTTTCTGCACAGTAGGTCTTTTGTGAAAGTGTGTCTGTAGACTACCCATTTCTTTCCCCTCAAATGTCAGTGCTATTGGGCGTCACCTGGGTTGGATGAATGCCCGATGACAAAACGGCAAAACTGGGAAATGTACACCCCAGGCTGCGCAAAGGAACAAACATGGCATCTCTGCAGCAGTGTCCATTAGGGTGACCCGGTTAAGAACTGAAAGCATTATTTTAACATTAAAACAAATGGGAATATATTATAGAGTAGAAAGTAAAAACGTGCATGACTTAAATGAAACCCAACACTTGAAGGAAGCATTCGGGCTGCAGGTGGGCTCTGTGAGGTACACTTTCAGGCTAGGTCAATATCCAGTCTTCTCTGCCATTGGGGGGATTATTTGGAAAACGGTGAGAAGCCTTGCTCTGGAGTGTTTTCCAACTTTCAGGCACTTACACGCCACCTCATACCCCACCTCTGTTTTTATGCCATGGACTATCTTTACTATTATTAATGATACTTTTCTTTAAACTCATTTCTTAAACTTATTTTCAGAGATAACACTATATTACTCCATAAATGAAAAACCAGCACCCTCCTGCTATAAATAGAAGGGAAGGGACTTGAAAATAAATATAATGAAAACAAAATAATATTAAATTGAACTTAGCTTCTATTGCCTGCCAATGACTGTGAGGTTAAGCCTGTTCGCTTGTCTTTGATAAAAAGGGCAATCCATCAGTGATGGAGAGATATTCCAGGCATAGTAGCACTGAGATTAGTCTTACTCCTTAATCTATCATAAGGTTGGAAAGAGAACTGAAAAGCGTGGTGTTGTTGTCACTTTGTGAGTTAATGCTAGCTAATGCCAAGGCTGTGAGTCATGTCAGATGCTGCCTGTCAGCTTTCCTTGATTTGAGAAGATCGCCTTGACCAGGTTGGCTGTTTTGGGAAGACACCTACACTCTCCCCCAGCACCATCCTAAGACCTTCCAGTGCCCTCTTGTATTTACGGAGCGTGACATCCCAGAATCACAGGATGACACTGCAAGGAATCTGCCGAGAAACAACAGGAGCTGAGAAGTCGAGATGGGAAGCCCCACATCCCTGACTCCCCGCCCACCTCCATGAAGTAAGTCCCCACCTGACAGTTCCCGCTCAGCATCCAGCCCCCCAGGCCTGCTCTTGTCCCCATCCCTACTAGCTATGAATGAATAAAGATGCATACACTCGCAGTTGCTTCTGCCTGGATGTCACTGCTGTCGTGATCTCCATGCCTTCTCACTGCTGAGTCAGGGAACACTTTTCTATCTGCTTTTTCTCACCAGCCCACTTACAGATAGGGCAGGGTAGGGCTACTTACCTTGGATCCATAGAGGTAATAAGGCTGGACATTGGCAGGCTTGTCTCGTTGTGGTTCTTGGGTGAAAGGAATGGCAGTCCGGACAAAACTAGTAGAGCAGAGATGGGGAAGAATTACCTAGGTATTATTATTATAATATTACTATTCTTCATGAGACACAACTAGCAGGAGCCCTGCTTGAGCAGGTGAAGGTTCACCCTGGGACAACAGCACAGTTTCTCTGGTGGATGCCTGTAAAGGTACTAACCTCTTCTGACAAACTCCCTTGCTTTTCCACAGATGGGAAAACTACAGCCCAGATTTCCAAGCTCAACTTAGGGCTTGTGACTGCTCAGAAGAATGCTAGGCTAAAGAGTAAAAGTGGGCAAACCTTGAAAATAACCTTCCCCGGGATCCATCTCTCCACCTCCAGTTTGGTTTCTCAAGAGCAGGGTTCAGCAAACTCATTGTCTAAAGAGCCAAGCAGCAGCACACATTGTCAGCTTCGTAAGCTGCATGGCAAGTACTCAACTCTACTGTCATAGCATGAAAGCATCAAGAGACAATAATAAATAGGCAAGACTCAGTTCCAATACTACTTTATAAATTTCAAATAATTTTCACTTGCCACCAAACATTACTCTTCTTTGGATTCCCCCCTTTCAAAAACATCAATACCAATCTCAGATCATGAGCTGCACAAAAACAGTCAGCAACTAATGTGGCCTGTGTAGGCCGTAGTTCGCTGCTCCCTGCTCAAGAGTGTTAAAAGTCCTAAATCTTGGCCAGGAGCAATGGCTCATGCCTATAATCCCAACACTTTGGGAGGCTGAGGTGGGGGGATCACTTGAGGCCAGGAGTTCAATACTAGCCTGGGCAACATAGTGAGGCCCTGTCTTTACAAAAATCTTAAGAGATAATAAAAATTGGCTGGGCATGGTGGCGTGTGCTTATAGTCCCAGCTACTTGGGAAGCTTAGGTGGAATGATTGCTTGAGTCCAGCTCGACGCTGCAGTGACCTATGATTGCCTCACTGCACTCCAGCCTAAATCTAAACAGAGATGGAAGTCTCTTGCTCCAGTGTGTAGATTCAGATGCATTTGTGGGTTCCTCCCATACCCTTCCACTCACTCAACACATAATCATTTAATATGGGCCCTGAGCCAGGTCCTGAGGACACCAAGAGGACCTGCAGATACATACATTTTTGGCATCCTTATGTACTTATTTTGTATATGAACATGTCTTACCTCTTCCACCAGGCTATAAACCTCTAGGGGATTAAGGATCAGGCTTTGTCTTTGCCTTGTGCCTGGCCCACAGCCATATGCACCTTGCAGGAGGCAAGTTCTCTGCCATGATGTGTGAGTTCTGCAGATATTCACCTGTCTTGCATGCATACATTCAGATATGTGGATGTCCTTACAAACGTATACTCTGACCATGTCACTTTCCTTCCTCAAACTGTTCCAGGTTCATAAGCCCATGGCCCTGAGTAGCGTCTGGAGTACAGCAGGCATGGTCTGTTCCTGCCTCCTGTCTTCTCTTTCATGGCACCATCCCCACACCTCACTAGTTTTACCTTCACTGACCTCTCTGCTCCTTAGACTTTGCCTGGAAGATGCTTCTCCTGCTTTCTCATCTTATTGGTTCCTACTCAGTTTGCATTTGTTACTTCCTCAGAGGAGGCAAATCCCTAGAGGTTTCGCATCAGTCACTTCCCAGACGTCACTTCCCAGACTGGATCAGGTGGTGCTATTGCCTCTCCCATGGCCCTGTGGACCCTCTTTGTTTCCTTATTCACTGTGTAATGTACATGTGTCCTACGACTATCTGATCACCCATGTCCTCCTCTAGCCTGAAGGCTCAAGAGGCAGGAAGGCCAATACCTTCCCACATCCTGGCCTCTAGCACAGAGCCCATACCCAGGAGGAGCTCTGGAGTACACCTGTCATCGGAACCCACTGACATGGGTGCTGGGCCTAGTGTGGAGGCAGTGAGCCACCTTCTCCCACCCCGACTCCCACCTAGCCCTGGGCCCTCACACACAGGGATCCCTCACCGGTTTGTGGACCCATTGTAGCAGTAGTTGGGGAGAAAGTCAAAGTTCAGCTCCCAGAAGACGTGCAGGGTGATGCGGCCATAGGGGGCAGACACATTGTGATTGGCCTCCCGGAACATAGCGTCGAAGCTGTCCAGAGTCATGTGCTTACAGAGTAGCCGGTGTGTGAGCCGGTTGATCTCCAGCAGCCACTCCAGCTCCTGCCGAGAGAACCCGCGGCTGCTGAGGACTCGCTCGGCAACCCTGCACCGCGTGCTTTATCTTACTCTCTTCAAGCAGGCGAGCGCCCTCGGCAACCTCCTGACTGCCCATGTGGGGACCAGGACCCACCCCCACAGTGGCATGTGACAATGTTCCCTTCTTCTGGGAAGTGGAAGAACTTGCCAGATTATGCTGAGGGAGGGCAAGTCCAGGAGAGGGGGGCTACAGTCTGCTCCCTGGAAGGCCAAGGACCACGTGCAAATCCCTGTGGGCACCCCTTTGGTCGAGAGCATACTTGCCTGCTTTCCAGTTTCTATCTTGTTGAGGAAAAAGCAATAAGAAGAGCTACCACACTATACTCAGTGGTCTATCACAGAAACATAGAACTGAATGCCACGTTCTCACTAATAAGCAGACCCTGAACAATTATAATACTATAAGGAAGGAATTGGCAGTAGTGAGAAACTGCAGGGGGAGGGGCACATCTCATCAATAAGGGTACTTGCTCTCAAACCAGGTGAAGTGGGGACCGAAGTGAGGCCCAAACTTTACCTGTACAATAACCATTTGCATATCTCACCCAATTGTACCCATCTCAAAAAAAAAAAAAAGAAAAAAAGAAAAAAAGAAAAAAAAGAGCTACCACTTATTAAAGACTTACTATTAGGGTGAACCAGATGAAATGGCTGGTTTTTTAGGCCAAACACTGAGAAATACTGTAATTTTATATGGCTCAACCTAACTCATATTGCCAATTTTATGTGTCAACTCATTTAGTGCTCATCAGAGCCCTAGCAGGTCAGTATTGATACTGCCCTTACTTTCCATGTACAGAAACTCAGGCTTTGAGAAGGAACTTGGCTTTAAACCCAAGAAGTTGGGCTGCAAAGTACAGACTCTTAACCACCATATACTACAACTTCTCTAGACATTTTTTAAAGAGGCAGGGGCAGGATCCCCCTTTGGACTGCTGGCCCCTGGAGGGGTGACACAGGTTGGCAAGGGCGTGGCTATAAGCCATGGGCAAGCAGTCTTCAGGCTGCCCATGATGGCCAGGGACTTCCGTGTGCTGTGGCCCTGATTGTTTGGAATTCCAACTCCCAGCAGAGAGCAGGATCAGAGGGGATAATATCTGCACACGGTGAGACACTGCATGTGTTGGGAATGAAAGAAGAGCGGAAACCTCACAAATCCCCTGCTCTGGTCTCTTGTTGTCCTGTAACTTCTCGATCATTGCTATAAAAATCATGCACAGTCTCATGCAGAGACAGAAGACACCATAGCCATGCCTGCATAGCTTGGGTCAAGGCGTCTTTTGAGATAGGCACGGCTGTCTCTGTTTCATAGAGTGGAAAACTGAGGTCTGGAAGGTTATGTAACTTCCCAACGTCACACAGGGAGTATATAACAGGGCTCAGGACATGAATCCTGGGCTTCAGATTCCAAATCATGCATTCTTGGCCCCTGTGACCTGGTTCATTGGAATAAGGATGCAAGAGCTATGAAGTGCTTTGAAAGATAAAGATGGGTTTATAATATAAAGGCTGAAAGAACATCAGCTGAGTGGGATGGCCAGGGGGTCAGCTCTAATGGCTGGGGCATGGAGCTAAGTAAGCTGTCCAAGGCCACAGAAGGCAGCCTCATGCCAGGGATTCCGTTTCATTCTTGTCAGCCGCATTACCCTGGCAGAAGTCCAGAGTGTGTCAGGTAGAGGCCCCAGACCATGCTTCCGATTTCTGGAGTTCTGCCTCTCTGGAACTTAAGTTCTACGGCTCTAAACTGGGGGCAGAGGACTGGTGGAAGGCTTGCAGATGGAATGGCTACAGAGGCCAGACAGGCCAAGTGACTGAGAGCGTGAAGAGGGCGTCTTGGGGCTGGGTTGTTGGCAGCAAGTTGGAGGGCCCCTGCCCAGGTGAAGGTGGTGCCGCAACTCCGGGTACCCCATCTGATCGCTGCCCCTTTGGAATGTGGGCTTAGGGAGGACAGATTCTGTAATTTTTCAGAAGTAGTCAGAATCTGGATTTCAACTCTGGAATAGCATCCAGAAGAATAAGCTCCCAGCCGCCATTCACCGTGAAGCAGAAAGGCAGAAATACGGAATTGGCTCTCGGCTTCTGTCCCTCAGGGCCTGGCCAGGTCCACTGTGCCTTGCTCGCATTCATTTAGGATGAATGATAAATACATGGATAATAAATAACGGGAGTAAATGCTGATGAGTTTATTTCTAAGACCACACAGTCCCCTGGCACACCGTAGTACCCTGTTACCAGGATCATAACTGCAGATGAGAAACCAGGGAACAATTTCTGTTCCACCGTTCTGTGACTTTAAATCTTCCAAGTGCACAATTAGTGCCTACATGGGAGACCAAAGGATATGCGGAGACGGCTAGAACAGTAGGTCTTCCTCTTCCTCCACATTATGCAATCCAAACTATATTCTTGCTAAATATTTTGCATTTGTTTCTCTGGCCTTCAAATCAGGAGAGTGCATTTGCCTGCTGGATGTAGACCCCAGTGCCCCAGGCACAGAAAGGCTTTACAAGTTCATGTGGGTGACTTAGGTGTCTCCTAAGAGAATCTTAGCTTCCCACAGCAAAGTTAGTTTGTTAAAGGGCAGCATAGAAAAGCAGAACTGGGGAAATAAAACACTCAAATGGGCAACTTCAGAGAAGTTGTGGAGAGAGCACTTCACTACAAGTGACAAGACTTGAGTGCTAGCCACACCCAACTGTCAACCACTCTGTGACCTCAGGCGAATGAGAAGAGCAGGGGTCTCAAACTCAGCACAGTGAAGCCTGGAAGGTCACACACAGGAATGACGCATGCCATGAGGCCTGAGGCAAGCCAAGAAAGCACAGCCCCCTAGCGGGAACTTCTAGTCACTTCTTGGCAATCGTTGCCATCTGGGAATACTGTTCTGGTGTTGCCAGTTTCTGCAGTTTTATTCAAGTTCTTCCAAATGTTAAATGTTGGCTGAACATTACAAATATGCTAGGTAGCCTTAAAAAAAAAAAAAAAACCACAACCTGCAGGCTGCCAGTTTTCAACTTCAGTATCAGTTCTCACCAAGACTCTATTTGCCCAGCTGTGCAGGACAAGGGCGACTAGCTCCCCAAATCCCTGCAACCCCTCCCAGCTCGAAACCTAGGTACCTCATCATCTCAGTAGGGTGTTTCAAGGTGGAGGGAAGGGTTGCAAGGAGCACATTCCTCGTTCTGTCTCTCAGAGGAAGAAAAGGCTTCTCAGCCAGGGTGAGTGGGGTCATCCAACCCTCAAGGAAAATGCTTTCCTGGGGTCTCCTCCTCAGGGGCTTCCCAGGAAGTGGGTTTCTCCGGGGAGTTGTTGCCCTCTCTTGATAAACACGGACTTCCACTGCTTGTTTTGATTTTGTTCCCAGCTAAAAGAACATTCAGTGCCTTTTACAAGGTAGAAAGAGGGCATGGAGACACACACACCCAAATAAATTTTTTCCACAATGTGCTCGTTACTGGAAAACTAGAAGATATAGATACAAAAAAGAAGAAAACAAAAATCCCACCACTTGGAGCTAATCAGAACTAAACTTTTGGCATAAACAAAGAAAAATCATTTCTCAAAATAGAGGTGGACGGATGGTTTCCCAGAAGAACGAGTGCTGCATGATCAACTCTTGAAGCGAGTGGTTTAGGATGTGTGTGGGGCAAGTCCCAAGAAATGCTGCTGAAAGTTTACCCCGAGAGCATCTCTTTTTCTCTTACCTTTTTATCATAGCTGTTATTTATAAAGTGCTTACTATGTACGAAAAACCATGCAAAGCTCTTTCCTGACAGTATCTCATTTTATCCTCATAACAATCCTAAGGCCAAGCTCAGTGGCTCAGCCTGTAATCCCAGCACTTTGGGAGACCGAGGCAAGTGGATTGCCTGAGCCCATGGGTTTGAGACCAGCCCAGGCAACCTGGTGAGACCTCATCTCTACAATAAGTGAAAAATTAGCTAGGTGTGGTAGCATGCACCTGTAGTTCCAGCTACTTGGAAGGTTAAGGTGGAAGGATTGCCAGAGCCCCGCAGGTTGATGCTGGGGTAGCTGTGAGTATGACACTGCACTCTAACCTGGGTGACAGAGTGAGACTCTAACTAAAATAAAAAAAAAAACCCTAAGAGGTGGATACTAGTATTTCTTCCACATTATAGATAAGAAAACCCACTTGGAGATGATATGTGACTTGCACGAGGCCACCAAGCTAGTAAGTGGCAGGGTCAGGACCAGGATCCCATATCTGTTTGACTCTAGAGTCATAGTTCATAGTCACTTTAGTTTTTTACCACTCTGTCCACTTAAAAACAACCTTTTTAGTCTGAAATTACTTCAGACTTACAGAGAAATGATAAAAACTGCACATCCAGCCCATCCTTTACCCAGCTTCCCCAGTGTTAGCGTCTGGCATAACCAATGATCAAATGTCAGAAATTAACTTTGGTATAATACTATTCACAAAATGAAAGGCTTTAGTCAGATTTCACCACTTTCTCCACTAAGATCCTTTTTCTATTCTAGGATTCAATCCAGAATTCCATGTTGCATTTATTTGTCATGTTTCCTTATTCTTTTCTAATCTATAAGTTTTCAGCCTTTGTCTCTCATGACCTGGGCAGTTTTGAAGAGTATTGTTCACTTTTTTTTTTTTAGAATGGCACTTGATTTGGTTCAACTGATATTTTCCCATCATTAGATTGAGATTGTGTATTTTGGGAAGAATATATGATGGCAACAATAATATAACTTACTGGTGATATTAACCTTGATACCTGGTTCAGATGGTGTCTGCCAAATTTCTCCATTGTAGAGTTACAACTTTTTCCTTGGTTGTCAATATCTTGTGGGAGGTAATTTGAGACTATGCAAGCATCCTGTTTCTTGCAAGTATCTCAGAGATTTCTATGTTTAAAAATGTATTTTTATTGTGATAAGATATACATAACACAAAATGCACCATTTTAGCCATTTTTAAGTGTATTGTGGCATTAAGCACATTCAAATTGTTTTGCAACTGTCACCAGCATTCGAACTGAAACTCATTTTCCTCACCAGAAACTCTATACCCATTAAACACTAATGCCCCTTTCCCTGGTAACCACTATCCTACTTTATGTCTCCATAAATCTGCCTACTCATATAAGAGGAATCAAACAATATTCTTCTCAAAGTTTTGCCTACTAATTTTAGCATCCATTGACAGACCTTCTTTACAACAATTATTATTATGTTCTATTGGTGATTTTCTATTTCCCATTCCTTCTACTCACCTGATTTTGAAAGCTTTGATAAACTTGAAGCCCAATCAACCAAGTTTATTCTAATTCTTGGAGAGAAAAAACTAGCAGAGAACAGTTTGGACCACTGTTTTCTAGGAGAAAGGCAGGCATATTCCATGCTTGTACATCAGGACCCACTATATAATTTGCAGGGTTACAGTGTGTATGAGAATGTGGGGTCCCTTTGTTTAAAAGTAAAGAATTTCAAAATGATCACAGTGGAGCATTAAACCAGATGCAGAGCCCTTCTGGGTGCTGTATTACTGCGTGCCCAGGAAGCCAAGCCTGTATTACTGTGTGACCTTCCCTAGCTTCTTATTACTGTAAGTATCCCTGTATTACGGTGTGACCAACTAGCTCGGCTCTGCAGGAGCGTGAGCACTAGCAGCTGTGTCTGAGGGCTGGCCTCTCTTGGAGATCTCCAGAAGAGCCCCTCCATACCCATCCCCAGGCAATCAGGAGGGTAAGACTAGTCTCATTCTGTGTCTTTTCCCCTTGCTTCATTCAGATGGGAAGGAGACTCAGTGTTTTTCTTTCACTGGCCCATCACTAGGTTAACAACCATGCCCAGCTAAGCTTGCAGTCTGAGGAATCCCAAATGAAAATCCCACTGGCCCCCAGACTCTCACCACAATGGAGGTCAGGTCCTCGCTCTCAAAGCGGCTGATGGCCTGGTCCAAGGATTTATACATGGCAGCAGAGATGCGCTGGGTAATGAGTCTGTTCAAGTCGATTGATCTCCCCAGCAGCTGGATGGAAGAGAGAGGGAGAAGTTACTTAAGATCTACACTGACACCTTGACAACTAAATACCTACACTGATATAGTTGGATTAAAATTATAAAGGACACTATTGGGACAAATGGGAACTGCATTTAGAAAACAGTGTTGCTAAATTTCCTGAGCATAATAATTCTATTTTGGTTTTATAAGAGAGTATCCTTGTTCTTAGGAGAGATAGGCTGAGGCATTCAGGGTTGAAATGCCATGATATTGGCAACTTACTCTCAAGTGGTTCAGAATAAAAGTATGTATAAACACACACAAACATACTCACACATTGTATATGTGTGAGAGAGAAACTATATACGTGAAAAAGAGAAGGTGAACTAAATGTGGTACAACATTAATTAATTTGGTTATAGGGTAGATAAGTATTCATTGTATCATTCTGTTTCTTCCTTTTTTTTTTTTTTGAGTTGGAGTCTCACTGTGTTGCCCAGGCTGGAGTGCAGTGGCACGCTCATGGCCACCACAGCCTTGACCTGCTGGGCTCGGGAAATCTTTCACCTCAGTCTTCCAAGTGACTGAAACTATAGGCACATGCCACCATGCCTAGCTAAGTTTTTTGATTTATTGTAGAGATAAGGTCTTGCCAAGTTGCCCAGGCTAGTCTCGGACCCCTGAACTCAGACAATTCTCCCACCTCAGCCTACCAAAATACAGCTCTCATTGTATCATCTTTCTGCTTCCATATAGGCTTGAAATACAAAAAGCTTAAGAAAAATATGCTTCACTGAGTCTATGGGAAGAAGCTCAGGGCGGGCTCTAGCTTCCATAAGTGCTTCTCCTGACATCCTTAATTTAGCCCTGAGGTTCTTCCTACATCTTTCCTGTGCTTGACTCAGTCACCAGGGAACAGCAGCCCTCAGCAAGGGCCTCCTTTCTACCTTCATGGGGGGCAATTTAAAAGTAATAGGATGAAAGACCAATTATGGGATAGAAAATACAGCTCACGATGCTTCCACTGGGGCACACATAGGCATTAATACAGATGCCGTGCAGAAAACGATGAACATTTATTGAGTGCCCGCTGTGTCCACAGCATTCTGCTAGGTGCCACATGACTATTCTTATCTAGTTTACTTTTCCTACTTCTCTTTTGGGATACATTTTCTACTAGCTGACTAGCCTTCTTACAGCCATCTCATGCAACATAAAGCCCTCAGTATTTAATATCCTGTGGCTGATTCTGGCTGCATTGTAACTAATAGCAATAATCTCCTGAGGCTAAGGGAAAGCTCTCACAGAGCCCCCCGCTGTTGGCAGAAGTGATGATTCTTTTTCTTTTTCCTCTTAACACTTTTTTATTTCCCTTTAATTTCTCAAAGCAATGGGGATGTCCAGGGTTTCCAGCATGAACTCTTTCCTTTTCATGCCGGGCATGGTCTCAGTCTTGGCCCTACCCTTTTGCAAAGACCAGGACCACGTAAGATGAACACAGACATCACTGCAGAAAGGCCATTTCACCAACTGTGTGGCCAACAGCCGGTTTCCAGGAGGGTTCGGCGTCACTGGGGCATCTCTTCTGTTGCCTGCCTGCCTCATGTAACATTTTTAAAAGGGGAGATGTCTCTTGGCTCCCAACAACATTTCCTCTACATCTGGGGTCCAATATTCACAGAAACCAACCCCACCCCCCAAATGCTCAATTTCTACCCTGGGCTTGACCTGACATACTTCTTTTCACAGGTGCCATGGTCCTCCTTCACTTAGAACAGCACTTGGGGCCTGTTCAAGGACAGATTTATCTATTTCCAAGTGGCAGTCCTGCCTGGAAGAGTGGGCAGCAGCTTATGATGGGAAGACAAAGGCTTTGGGGGCCATTAGCTGTCCAAGGTCAGTGGCAGATGGGTGGAGAAGCCTAGAACTTGGCCCAAGGGAAGCCCATTGCATCTTTACTGTTTGCAAGATTCTGAGGCTGTGCTACACCTATGCTCAGAAACCCACACTGGCAATGCACAAGGCAGATGGCACCCAGTCCCGATTCCTGATCTCTGTGCGAGCCCCACAGGTACTCACTCCTGCCCATTCCCACTCCACAGTGGTGTCCTCTCACCATACCTGGACGTGTCTCTGTTTCAGCAGCGTTTCATAGCGGTTGGACGGGGGGTATGGAATGATGACTCCATAATTCTTACATTCTGCACGAAAACGTTTATCCAACAGGACGCTGGGAGGGACAAAAGTCAAATGAGATCAGTAAACAGGACAGAGAATGGCTCTCAACAGCCCAGCTACATCTATTTCAGACCACAGGATATATCTAAGATTTTTTTTTTTTTGAGTCGGAGTCTCACTCTGTTGCCCAAGCTGGAGTGCAGTGGCATGATCACTGCTCACCATAGCTTTGACCTCCTGGGCTCAGGCAATCCTTCTGTCTCAACCTCCTGAGTACTTGGGACTTCAGACATGTACCACCACACCTAGCTAATTTTTTGTAGAGAAAATTTCTCTATGTTATCCAGGCTAGTCTTGAACTCATGGCCTCAAGCAGTCCTCCCACTTCCACTTCCCAAAGTGCTGGGATCACAGGCATGAACCACTGCACCTGTTCAACTTAGATATAATTATTTTTAAATTTCTTTTCAGCCACAGAAGCTCAGTACATGAAGCAGAGTTTCTAAGTTAGAGGTGGGCAACACTAACCAGAAGATAAACCAATTTTCTCTTTTGTTGATCTACCATAAAAGCAACTGAACGCATGCCTGCTGTACCCTGGGAAGCATTCTGGGAACTGAGGATATAAAGCCCCTGTCCTCAGGGAACTTATGCTTTGTGAAAAGAGACTGATAATACATAAAAAATGAGCAGAGACGACAATAAACATCTGTATAATATGTATCACTTAGAGGCATTTTAAACATACATACACATATACACATTCAAGTCATATTTATTTATTTATTTATATTTATATTTTTGAGTTGGGGCCTCACTCTGTCGTCCAGGCTGGAGTGCAGTGGCACAATCATGGCTCTTAGCAGCCTCAACCTCCTGGGCTCAGGCAATCCTTACAACTTCCTGAGCAGCTGGGACTACAGGCACATGCCACTACACCCAGCTAATTTTTTGATTTTTTTTTTTTTTGTAGAAACAAGGTCTCGCTATGTTGCCTAGTCTGGTCTTCAACTCCTGGGCTCTGCCAATCTGTCCCCCGTGGCCTCCCAAAGTGCTGGGATTACAGGCGTGCCTGGCCTCAAGTCATTTTTAATCTCATAACAACCCTATGAGTTAGGTGTACAATTATTATCTTTCACATTAAGGCATACATTGCAGAGTGATAAGTGCTTTGAAAATTATAAAATGGGATCATTTGGCAACAGGGAAAGTTTCTCCACAGAGGCTTTGTTGAACAGAGACCTGAGTGATAACAACAGAATGAGCTGGGAGGTGTGATATCACAGATACAGCAAGTCCGGTATGTTTGAGAAAAGGAAAGTTGGCCCCCATGGATAAGGAGTAGGGCCTGCTGGAGAGCACAGCGCAGAAGGAACAGATGATGTTAGTCTAGGAGCCAGACCACGTGGGACCACCCAGACCACAGTAAAGAGGCTGGGTGCTTTTGTAATTGGAGGCCATTTCAAGATTTTAAGCAGGAGAGAGACACACTCTAAATGTATGCTGTGCAATGTAGCTGCACCAGCCACACGTGCCTACTTAGTGCTTGAAATGTGCTGGTCCAAATAAGTATGTCCTGTAAAATACATACTAAATTTTGAAGATTTAGGAAAAAAAATAAAAATAACTCTTTAAAAATTTTTATATTGGTTACATGTTAAAATTATAGTATTTTGGATATGTCAGGCTAAATAGAAATATGTTATTAAGTTTAATTTCACTTGTTTCTTTTTCCTTGTTTAAATGTGGCTACTAAAAATGACATTTATGGCTCACATTTATGGCCGCAATATATTTCTAATGGACAAGATTGGCATGGGTTGTTCTTTTCCTTCTGGGCTATCTCTGAATCCTCCCCACCTCCCCCAAACAGCTTCTAAAATCTACAATTAACTCAAACAAATCAGCAAGAAAAAAGCAAATGATCCCATTAAAAATTGGGCAAATGACACGAACATACATGAACATACATCTCTCAAAAGAAGATACACAAACGGCCAACAAACATGAAAAAATGCTCAAAAATGCTCAAAAATCACTCATCATCAGAGAAATGCAAATTAAAACCACAATGAGATAACACCTTATCAGGATGGCCCTTATTAAAAAAACAAAAAACAACAGACGCTGGCACAGATGCAGAGAAAAGGGAACTAACTCTTATACACTGTTGGTGGGAGTATAAATTAGTACAACCTCTACGGAGAGTAGCATGGAGATTTCTCAAACAACTAAAAGTAGATCTACCATTCAATCCAGCAATCCCACTACTAGGCATCTACGCAAAGGAACAGAAGTCGTTATATAAAAAAGATACCTGTGCCCGCAAATTCATTGCAGCACAATTCACAATTGCAAAGATGTAGAATCAACCTAAATGCCCATCAGCTGATCAGTGGATAAGCTTCCAGACACTTTTAAAAACCACTGATGACACAGGGAAGGATAAAAGTGAAAGTTCTATTACAGATGAAGGAAGACTCAGGGTTTGACAAACCTAAATCTGTTTATACAGACAACAGATTGGCATATTTGGAAGCAGAATTGTCTTAGAGCAGCTGGAAGCCCAGCTTGCTGTTGGAACTCCACTCCAGTCAATCCACAGATGCTTATTAAGTGACTATTTCATGAAGAGCTGAGTCCTCTGTGCTTTCCCCGAAATCATAAACATATGATCTCTATGCTTCCCATCACTTGAGTCATTTTTATTCAATGCACATCCTGTGTTAACAGGAACTGGGGTATGCTGCCCCTCAGCTCTGATTTTGACACACATCAGAGCTATTCTAGCTGCTGAAAACAAAATGTAGCACTTTGGGAGCCTGAGGCGAGAGGATTGACTGAGCACAGGGGTTCATGATCAGCCTGAGCAACTTGGTGAGACCTCGTCTTTACAATATATCAAAAAATGAGCCTGACGTGGTAGTGCATGCCTGTAGTTCCGGTTCCTTGGAAGGTTGAGGCGGAAGGATCACTTGAGCCCAGCAGGTTGATGCTGGGGTAGCCGTGAGTATGCCACTGCACTCCAGCCTGGCAGACAGAGTGGGACTCTGACTCAAAAAAAAAAAAAAAAAAAAAAAGAAAGAAAGAAAGAAATGGAAGCAAATCCTTTTCATAGAGAGAAAAATGATTTATTAAGGTGAGGAACTATCTTTGAAATTATTCGTTTGTACATTTGGAATTCCAATAAAATTGGAAATACGCATATGTATAACTTGAGTTTTTTCTTAACCGGTACTATTACAAGTTCTTGAAACCCCCTGACTCGTGCAGGTCTAAATCAATATATACCAGCAATATCAATGAGCCTCTAAAGCCTAACACATCTCTGATCCAGACTTCTCCACTGGCCTCCTAGCTCACCCATTCTTGTTCAGCTCCAACCCATTACACACACACACACACACACACACACACACACACACACTCACACACAATTTAACTTTTTAAGAGACAAGGTCTTGCTCTGTCATCCAGGCTGGGGTACAGGGGTGAGATGAGAGTTCACTGCAGCCCCAAACTTCCAGGATCAAGGGATCCTACCACCTCAGCTTTCCAAGTATCTGGGACTACAGATGTACATGATCACGTCCAGCTAATTTTATTTTGTATAGAGATGGGGCTTCACTATGTTACCCCAGGGCCTCACTATGTTACCCCAGCTGGTCTCAAACTCCGGGCCTCAAGCAATTCTCCTGCCTCAGCCTTCCAAAGCACTGAGATTACAGGTATAAGTCTTTGCAACAAGTCCTCATTTTTATATTTTTAAGAACGAACTTTAAAAAGTGATACTCAAATCAGGTCACCGTTGTATTTTGCAATGATTCCGTGATGTTCCACTCCTAGGAAAAATGTCTGAAGGCCAGTGTGACCTGGCCCTGCCTACCTCTACAGTGTTACTGGACAGCCTGCCCCCTCTTGTGGTCATGTAGGAAACACCAACATGTATTAATTCACAGCAATTCTCTCAACAGCCCCGTGAGGTCGCCATGCTGTCGTCGTTTTACTTCCACCACAGGGACTTTGCATAAGTAGGTCCTTTCACCTGCAATTTCCCGCCCTATCTTCCATCTAGTTGTACTTCACTCCCACCAACTTCATAGGAACTCAGATGCTGCTTCCTCAGGATGGCCCTTCTAATCCCCTGGCAAAGACCAGTTCAGGTTTAACTGTTATATGTTCTCATGAACTTTTCCTTTATGGAGACCATGCAACCTCCCTTGCCACTGTGCATTCATCAATTTTTAATCAATTTCTGCCTCCCCCACTGGACTGTAGGCTCCGTGAGGTCAGCACCATCTCTGCCTGGTTCCTTTCCACTATATTCTAGCACCCACGGAACAGCTCAATTTTCCTCGGGAGCTACAGAAGAGAAGAGGTTTTGCAGCAGAAACCTTGCCTTCCAGGTGGCAGTCTTAAGATTGCTGTTCACAGCCCCGGGCTCTCATACCTGCCAGCCATGGCTTTGTAGTAAGCAAAGATCTGGTCCGCCAACTTGTAGACAAACTGATCAAAACACAGGTTCACCTGGCAAAGAGGAAGCAGAATACATCAATGGTGCCTGACTAGTTTTATCACAGGAACTTAGGCCACCACAAAAGAACAGTTGGGCAGGATGGCCCAAAGCGTGTTTGGGGGCCAGATGTTTGAAGGGGGATTAAAAAAGATTCTGTGACCAAGTAAGCTTGGTCCCTCGCTTTCAGGGTCCTCAGTTAGTCAACAGGGAAGGCAAAGTTCAAAAGGGCTGTTGGGGAACTGGCCTCCCCATCACCACCCTGTCTTCTGCTGCTCCGGGGCAGGCTGCTTGGGAAAGGCCACAGCAGGCCTTCCCAGATCCCACAACTGTTCACATTTGATGACTGACCTTGCAGTGTTTCCAACCACCTCTTATGACAAGACTTTCTTGTCTCTTCCTGTCATTTTACCTTGCTTTGCAAATTTGACTATGAAGGAGTTGACAGTCATAAGATATTTAAAAGCTGCTTTCTTCAAACTTGGCTTAAATACCTTTAGTTCCTAATGAGCAATGACTTCCCATTTTATCACTTCAGTGGCAGACTGTGGTGCTCAGGTGGGAAGATAAGTTTACACCTGACAGAAAGAAGCAAACCAAATCTTTTGATACTGGTGAGAGCGGGAAAAGGCCATGGGTGGGACTTTAAAGAGATGGTGCTGTAACAGCAGCCAGGCATGAATATAGCATCAAAGGAATCAGATCACATTTACGTGATTAATCTTTGATTTTTTAAATCACCTAATCCTCAGTTCCATAAGGGTAACTCTTTTTTGTTTGTTTGTTTTTGAGAAAGGGTCTTGCTCTGTTGCGCAGGTTGGAGTACAGTGGTATAATCACAGCTCACTACAGCCTGGAACCCCTGAGCTCCAGTGATCCTCCTGACTCAGCTTCGCAAGTAGCTGGGAATACAGGTGTGCGCCGCCTCACCTAGTTTTTTTTTTTTTTTTTTTTTTTTTTGTAAAAATGAAATCTTGCTTTGTTGCCCAGGCTGATCTTGAACTCCTGGCCACAAGCAATCCTCCTGCCTCGGTCTCCCAAAGTGTTGAGATGACAGGTGTGAGCCACTGTACCTGGCTCAAGGTTAACTATTCAAAAGCTTTCATATCTTTTATCTTATACTCCCATGTATCATGCAGAACACAAAAACACAGTGTTGTGTGTAGTACCTTCCTCATACCCAGGTAGCTGAGGCCTCTGCCCTGGACTCTGAGCTTCAAGGGTCATCAGTGGACCTTCCTCCAGGGTCCAGGTGGGGGTGGGCACTCAGATCCCACTTTCCCTTCTAGAACCAGCTCTGATAGCCTTGTTCAGATGACTCAAGCCCATTCCAGGGCTATATGCTCTTTTCTCTGTCTCCACCCCCCCAGGGGTGGACTGCTTTGTGGGTGTGTGCACCCCTTAGGCCTCAGGGTTGGCCAAGGTAACACAGGTTTTTAGCAGAGGTGACAGCCAGAGCTTGGGTATCTGTACACCCGTACACGAAGTCCTTCATGGTGCAAAATAAGAGTATGGGGATTGGGAGAGAAAGGAGGCAGCCCTGAGCGGGAGGTGTCAATGTGTCCTGTCACACAGTCCTTTCTCACGGTCATGATTATGAAGATCACCCTCCAAAACAAGGCATTGACCCCTCACTCTGTGCTGACAGCAAAAGCTTGGCAAAGTCCAGAATCTTGAAGCAAGGTTACAGGCACAAAAGCAGAAGCCCTCCACTTGCCTCGGCTTCAATCTCATCGTACAGGAACTGCTTTTTGAACTTGGTCAGGGCGTAGTAGGCGCTGTCGTTGTACAGGTCCAGGGGGTAGAGGACATACCTGAGGGGGAAACACAGTCAGAGCTTACTCATGACCCTCCAAGGCAGGCTGATACTAGATTAGAAATCTGCACAAGTTCAGAGTTAGGGGAAGACAGGCTTCAGTCCTCTCCAGTGTTTCCAGGGCCTCTGCAGCTTTGGAACTACTTCATGGAAAATCAAAACTCCATAATGCAAATAAAACCAAGACCTGGAAAAACTCATCTGAGACTAAAAGGTATCAGATGACAGTTAAGGATATTAACTTCCTGACCCTCTGAGATGACTATTTTCTGAGCACAGCTGTTGGAGTCTGACATAGTATAGGAAGAGTGGTTGGCCTGGGACAATTCTGAATCCATCTGCAAGGCTGAGTTGGAGGATCTCATGCGGCCTGAGCTTTGGTCTGAACTCCGTCCCCGGAGGGACACATGCCTCATCTCTAGTCAACTAAGTACTTCCTTCTGGAAAGAACAGAACTCACTGGCAAACTGTCCTCCACCTGCACCCCGGGGAACCTCCTGCTGGTCCCACCCTGCCTCTTACTCCATCATGGAAGGTTCTTTGGTTTCCAGGATGTGATCCGTCAGAATCCAGGGCATGGACATCTCAATGGGGAACTGGATTCGCCGGCCCATGGTTAACTCCAGGAAGAATTCTCGGAACCAGAGTTGGGAGAGATCGCAGCACTGCTGCAGGGCTTCTGAAAGTGCAAGAGACGGAGCCTTGGGTTACACACAGGAAGCCCTAAAGATCTTAGTTCTTGGTGTTTTTATTACATGTTTATTGTTATGATTGCCACTGTGGTAGGCACACAGAGGTTCTAATATTGATCAGCAGGTCCTACTCTCTTGTACTCGAAGGCAAGTCTGACATCCACTTGGAAAATAGCATTTGTTAAGAGGCCATGTGATGGGGGTAGATGTTTTAGAGCTTGCAGAAGCCCCCATAATTCCCTTCATCCCTCCACAAAACCATCAGAAAACCCACAATCTAAGTGTAAAAAGTGTGCTTGTCCTACAGACACAGTGTCAAGACAGGCCCCCAAGTGCCTGTCTTCAGCTGGACCATGGCTCCTTGACTCCTTGTGTGTGGTAATTCCCAGATCCTGTCCTGTTTGGAGGCCTTGAAGGCCTTTCTCATGCTACTCTCTAATGGAGTTGCTTGTATTGCTTAATAAGATAACTCTTCTCAGTACCAACAAACACATTAAGACACTCCTGTCCCTGGGATGCTACCCTTCCTCTGCCTTTTGCTGTCCAACCCGGCTGTCATCCTGCTGAAAGGATAGGAAGAGGAAAGGACACAGGATCGGATGTAGCGGGGAGCCTCCCCTGCTGGAAGCAACAAGTACTAAGCTGCAGAAGGCTGATCTAGCACCTCATGTGTATGTCTGTACGTACGTGCGTGTTCCTGGTTTCAATCGCCCTCTTCCACGGACTTCACGACACGTTTGCCAAACATTTAGCTAAGTCAGAACAGCTGGACCAAACCTAGCTTCGCCTGCCTCCCAAAGTCTAGTAGAAAGTGTGTGGTGTGTTCTAGGAGGCAACATGTGCCCCCAGGGGTCAGAGATCACGTCTCTTTGCAAGTTCTAGCCTGTGGGCCTCAGTCGTTCTGGAGCCCTTTCCCCCTGCCCCCTGCCCCCTGCCCCCTGCGGGCACTGCAGCTCACCGCTGATGTTAAGCAGGTGCGTGAAGAAGAAGGACTGCTTGTGGAAGTCCTCTATGGCAAGCACGATGGGCCCATCGAGGCTGCTTCTCAGGGTCTTCTTGGAGCCACTTTTGTCTGCGATGAGCGATTCCAGCATGGTCCGCACCATGTACAGCTTGAAAAAGAAAGTATGAGGAAAGGTCAGAAGCCACCCTCCATCCCGGCAGAAGAGGTTGCTCTGTGCTGCATTTTTTTTCCTCTTTTTTCTGCAGATGCCTGCTCTTAAAAAGCACTATCCTAATGAAGCACCGGTTTGGGGTTGGAGAAGTAACTTTAGAGCCACGAAAACCTACAAGAGGGAGACTGGCCGGCCCAGGCCCCACGACATTGCTGCACAGGCGGACTTGGTCACGCCAGGTAGCTCAAGGCCCAGGGAGAGGCTCCGTCAGCTGTGCATGACCAAGGGTGAGGACATCAGAGGAGAACCTCATTCTATGTCACCCCAGAGTCACTCCCCGTTTTCCAAGATGGCCACAGGCGCCATGGGTGGAACACCGGATTGGGAGTCAAAAGACCAGGGTTCAAGGCCAGGCACTGCCACTGACTTGCTGTGTGACCTTAGGCAACCAAGCCCCCACTCTGGGCCTCAGTTGTCTTATGTAACATGAGGAGGTTGGACCAGATGCCTTTCCACACCAGAACTTCTCAGTTCTAACAGGTGAAGAACTATGAAATGGGATGAGATCAGAATGAGCCCCCTCCCACACCTCAAGCATGTTCCCTCTGCTCCTGAGCGAGGGCGCCCTTGGTGGCGTCGGCTGCATTGCACAGCCTGCCGAAAGCTTGGGTGGAAAGCGGGTTAACGTTGGTACTTACACAGGAGGCTACTAGACAATTAACTCCTGCTTACAGAGTGCCTCGAGTGCAAAGGAGGCAAGTGCGGAAGGGTTGTTCTCTTTGCTAATCTAGATCTCTCCACATCATTTGTCTTTGAATCTTAGGGCCGGAAAGGGTTGAGGAGCCAGGCTAGTCCATTCCTGCCGCATCCTCGAGAAGGCTACCCCAACCAACCCAGCCAGGCGGTGTTATACCAGGGATCGGCAGCCTCTTCGGCCCTGTGTGCCACCAGTGGGGTGAAACAAAGCCCTCGGGGACCACTGGCAGGCCTAAGACATAGATAGGAGAGAAGGAAGAGGGAATGGGAGGGCAGGAGAGACAGGGAAGAGGGAGAGAGAGAAAGAGAGAGAGAGAGAGAGAAAAGCAAGAGGTATTGTATACGGTGGGAGAGCCGCCGCGACTGCTGGGGCCGCCTCTGGGACGCTCCAACCTCCCAGCACCACGTCCATCCGGGAGCTTCTCTAGGACCTTCCCCACCACGGGCCTGGCACTGATACGGGCAGTGCAGCCATGGACACGCGCGACACACTGCCCCTGTCACAGGCCTTCCCCTTGTGGCAAAGGAACCACCATGGCTGCCAGTGCAGCCTATCGGCGGGCATGTCTTGCTGGTCCCTGAGAACGAGAAGCACTCTTCTCATGACGGCCTTTCGAGTCCTCATAGGAAGGATTCATCGAGTTCAGTCTGTCGTGGTACTGACTGACTTACAGAAAACCGTATCTGAAAACAGGTTCCATCCAAAGAGGGTGACTCTTTCCCCGCCTACTGTTATTTAAAGAGCATTTAATTTGCGAGAACAGTCTCCATCCCAGCTGTGTGAGACGCCCAAGTCTACTGTGTTCCGGAGGCCGTGACAGAGCCCTGGTGGGAGTCAGGAGACCTGGGTTCTTGTCCCACCTCCACCTGGGACTCACCTTGTGACTTGGACAAGTCACTTCCTGTCTCTAGACCTCAGTTTCCCCATCTGTAAGATAGGGGAGGGGCTGGCTTTTCTCTAAGAACTCTCCCAGATCTGGCTGTCTATCTGTGCCACCTAGTGTGACCTGGTGGCATCTGGGGGCAGAGGGGCCCTGTTGGTGACCCTCTGCCTCATGATATCTATGGAAATACTCCTTCCTCTCCTCTCCCTCTCCTCTTCTCTCTCTCTCTCCCATCTTCTTCCTTCTTTCCAGTTCCTCCTGTGCCTTGTCTGCCTCGTCCTCTCTCATGTCTTAGGACTTACAGAAACTCCTGCCCAACCCCGACAGGGCCTCTGGGTTGGAAGGCCTCTGTCCCTCGATACTACACAGACCTGGAGACACTTTCTTGGGATGCTCCACACCCGCAGGTGAGATGAGTGCACACTGGCAGAGGGCTGTGAAGCCAAGGAAGTTAGGAAGGCCCTGCCGAGAACCCACCTTGCCCCTGCCCTGGCCCCCAGCCCCTTGCCCAGACATAGACACACACACACAGGGAGGAGGGTCGGGAGGCAGACCTCAAGCGCCTCATCTTGGACGACTCAGAGCAGAGAGAGGCCAAGAGGCCACCTGACGCTGCATGCTTGGCCAGGGTTCCTGGGCCTGAGAGACCCCGGCTGGAGGCTGCAATGGACCATTCTGCTTTCTTCATTACCTTAAAGAGACTGCCAGAAACTATTTAGTCGTAAGCAGGTGGCAAGGATTTAACTAAGATGCCCAGATTATATATTTACTCTTTTTTTCCCTACAATTTTATGATGGCTTTGGATAAGCCACAGGCAGCCTCTTGTACAAAAGTTCCAGTGGGCAACTCTGAATATTTTGAATACAAGACCTTCTCTAAGGGGCTTAGGGCTTTTGATACTCTGTGAGGAATAAGGGACGTTTTCAGTAACATTATCTCATCCAAAGTGTTCATTTTTACAGACAAAATAATCAGAGCTCAGAGAGGACAAAACGCTTGCCCAAGATCACACAGCAGGTCAGAAGTAGAACTTGTGAATTTCCAAGGTAGGATATCAGTGCAGGGGAAGGAGCCAGGGCTTATTAAAGAGGGACAGGATAGATGCATATAGATTCCATTTAAACTCCTCCTGTACTTTGGAATGTGTACTTCATAGGACTAGAAGACAGTTGGGTTAGGTGGATACGGTATTATCCCTATTGGCCAGATTAGACAACTGAGGCACAGAGAGATCGTGCAACATGCCCGAGGTCACATAGGTATCTAGGACTAGAATCCAGGTCTCCTGAATCTTAAGCCAGTGGTCTTCCTTCCTATATCAAAACAAGATGGTGGGATAAGACCAGAGTGGTTGCTCAACCCTGCCCCACCTGACTGAGGACCCCCAGTTCCATTGTCCTGTGGCCCAGCCACAATGACCCACCATGGCCCAGCTGGCCTCTGAGCCAACAAAGCTGGCCTGAGCCTGGATCCGCTTACCTGCGTGCTGGATGGCCCCACCGCACGCCGGGGCACCTTGATGTCAAATCCACCTTTGGGGTCTTTCTCCCCTCTCAAGCATGGGTCATTGGGGGGCTCTCGCCCTCCCTCCCAGTCACAGATGGTCTTCCGAATTGCCTGCAGGACGCTGGAGAAAGAAGAACTGAGACTCAGACCAGGTCTCACCACCGGAAGGAGGTGCTCCAAGCCTGTGTTTCTAAGCCCATGATGTCCCAGGACCATCTGCGTTTGAATTCCTGAGGTGCTCTGACACATGCTCATTCCTGCCTCCTATCCCCTGAGATGCTGGCTTAACAGATTTTAGGTGCAGTCCAGAAATCTGCATCTTAGCAAGTGTCCCACATGGTTCTGACGCCTATAGGATGTCTGAGAACTCAGCTGTGAGCCCATGATGTAAGACAGAACTTGGGTGAGGCAAGATGATTCTTTTTCCTTTTGGTTACAGGGAAGACTCGTGAATCCAATCAAATCTCTGTAGAGTTAAAGTTTTAAATAATAGCTTAGATGTGTAGCATACTGACTCCACTTTGCCATGTGCTTTGGTCTACAGGTGGACTATTTCATTTCATCATCCAACAGGCTATGAATGAAGTCGGTACCATTATAACCCCCATTTTACAGATGAGGAAAACTTAGGTTTGGAGAAGGTTTGTCACTTGACTAAGTTCACACAGCTAGACAATGGTGGCTAAGGGCTTCAAACCAGTGATGAAGGCTTAATTCATTCCAAATGTCCAGTCTCCTAAGGAGGCCCACTGGAACTTGCTGAAAGGATCTGTGTGTGTTCAGAGGCTAACCTGGAAGCTTACTGAGCAGGAAACTTCCTCTGTAGCCTGTTCCTAGCACTGCTGACTTCTGATATGCCCCTGAAAAGGGCTATCTGAAGACCCACCTGATGAGAACGTTCTTCTTCTTGCGTACTGCTTGTCTCAATGGCTCACGCAGTGTCACCTGAGCAAAGTCCTGCAGGGCCGCATAGATGGTATTCCTGATGGCTTGGTTGAAGACGCTCTCCATTCTGCCCATGAGCACCTGCAGGCCTTTGATCATGGCAATCACCTGGATGGGCACAGATCAAGAGTCAGGCTCACCACACCTCGGCACACCAGCCTGGCCACTTACCCGTCAGCACCTTGCAGGGGGAGGGTGTGTGGTGTGAGATGTCCAGAGGCCAGTGCTACTCAAAGTTCGGGTTCACGGCTAGGTAAGAAACAAGTTCCAGTACATAAGCAAAGCAGTGCTTTGCTGCCTTCATCAAGAAAGGCTTGCTATAAAACAAAGGTATCAGCTTGACTGACTGGTATACTTCATGATACAGTTTATTTGCATCCTGGCACAAGTTCCCGATTTTATGGTTGACTGGTGACACAACTGGTCCAGGGACCACATTTTGAGTAGAACTTTGGCTTTCAGAGGCCTTTCCATGTATCATGCACCCATAGACCATGTCAAAAAGAACTTTTTTTTTTTTTGGTAGAAATGGGGTTTCACTATGTTGCCCGGGCTGGTCTTAAACTCTTGGCCTCAAGTGATCTTCCCACCTCAGCCTTCCAAAATGCTGGGATTACAGACATGAGCCGCCACACCTGGTCCTCAAATAGAAATTTTTTTTACCATAACATTTTCCAAAAAATTTTGACAATCTTTGTTTCTGTGATCATTTAGCCAGATACTGCTTGGGTTTATAAAAACAAAGCTTCTCCTGTAGAAATCTTGGAGGAAAAGCATCTGCTCTTCTGTTTACCTCCTCCCTACCCCTCGACTTCATATCTGCTTGGAGAGACAGGATTCAAGTGTGTGCAGTGAAAGCCACCCAGCCCAGCCCGGCCCTGGCCCTCTCTTATGGGGGTCTGTGGCCTCTCTTCTGGGTTCCTGCCTTCTCATCCCACTAATTATCTCCTGCCCGTGCTGAAGAAGGGAGGCATGTATCTGCAGCTGCTTGACCTACTGCCCTGAAGTACATTTATGAGATGGAAGGGAGGAAGAGGAAGACAGTGGAAACCTTGAGTGGAAGCCATGGTTTCTCTAATTCAGCTTAACCGGCAATAAATTAGATCTTTTTTTTTTTTTTTGAGTTGGGGGGTCTTACTCTGCCGCCCAGGTTGGAGTACAATGGCACAATCATGGCTCACCACAGACTTGACCTTCTGGGCTCAGGTGATCCTTCTGCCTCAGCCTCCCGAGTAGCTGGACTACAGACATGTGCCACCATGCCATTTTGTAGAAATGAGGTCTTGCTATGTTGCCCAGGCTGGTCTTGAACTTCTGGGTTCAAGCAATTCTCCCGCCTTAGCCTCCCAAAGTGCTGTGATTACAGGCGTGAACCACTGCGCCCAGCCAAATCCAATCATTTGACCCCATGAGCCTCTACTGTTAATTTCTCAGTTGACTCAGAATTCAGAGGGAAAGTCATCCTCTGCACAACTCCCACACACGTCACACCCATAGTGATGTGTTCCACCTTCTGCACCAGGCTGGAGCATGCAGGGATAGGCCCACAACACTGGGCACACCTCACAGTTGGTGCCTGGGCACACCTCATGGTGGGAAGATGAAAAATTTTGTTGAAAAGCAACAAATAAATGAATGAATGAGCTTAGATCCTAAGCCTCTTTAATTCTCTAACACTTAAAGGAAGAAAAGTAACATTTGAGGTAGGTGGAAATAGTGTGAAAATGGAAGTTCAGAGGGTAAGGATTTTCACTGGAACCAACAGTGTAATGATTTTGCTGGTGAGAGGCTTTCGTGCAGAGAAGTAATGGGTGAGAGACATGGAGGACTGTTAGATCAACAGAGAATCTGGGCTCTCGGTTAGAGAAATTAGGACACATTGGACAAATAAAGAAGATGAGAAATTTTGTTGAAAAGCAACAAATAAATGAATGAATGAGCTTAATTCTCTAACACTTAAAGGAAGAAAAGTAACATTTGAGGTAGGTGGAAATAGTGTGAAAACGGAAGTTCAGAGGGTAAGGATTTTCACTGGAACCAACAGTGTAAAGAAACAGATCATGAAGATGCTTCAGAATAACTTCAAATATTGTAGAGTGCGCAGGTCTGTTGGACCTAAGGAAAAACATTTGCAACTTGGGGCTACAGGAAGATATCTTAGCTGAAACACAAAACCACAAATCTTTACAAAATAACTGATAAATTGGACTTTATCAAAATTAAAAATAGGTGCTCTTCAAAAGGCACTCTGACAAAAATGAGAAAGCAAAATCATTGATGAAAACAAAAATCTACAACACATACATGACTACAGACTTGCATCTAAAATGTAGAAAGGATTTTCCAAATTCAATAAGAGAAGACTTGAAACCCAATTTTTAGAAATGGGCAAAAGACTACAATACTTCACAGAGGAAAATATATAAATGGCCAATAAGTACATGAAAAGATACTCAATATAGTTTGTCTTCAGGGAAATAAAACTAAAACCTCAGTGATATTTGACTGCATACCCATTAGAATGACAAAAATTAATAAGACTGACAATATCAAAGACTGTGAGGGTGAAGAACACCAGAACTCTCACATACAACTGGTAGGAATATAAGATGATACAACTACTTCAGAAAACTGGAAGTTTCTTAAAAAGTTAAACATACCCCTAAAACATGACCATTCCAAGACAAATAAAAATTTATGTCCACACAAAGACTATTTATACTCAAGTAGTTAGAGCAACTTTATTCAGAGTTGCTAAAAGCTGGAAATGGCCCCATGTATCCAAATTAAATGGATAAACAAATTGTAGTATATCCGTACAATGGAATGCTACTTAGCAATAAAAAGGGGCAAAGTACTGATACACAAAACAATGTGATTGAATCTCAAAATTATTATGCTAAGGAGAAGAAAGGAAATACAAAACAATATATACTGTATGATTCCACTCACATAAAATTCTAAAAAATACAAATACATCTATGGTAATAAAAATAGGTAAGTGGTTGCCTGGGGCCAGGGGTGAATGCATAGGGATGGATTACAAGGTAGCAAAACAAATCTTTAAGGGCAGGTAGAAATGTTCTGTATCTTAATTGTGTTTGTAGTTACACAGGTGTATACAACTAGCAAAAACTTTCTGAATTATATACTTTATATGGATGAAATTTATTGAATGTATGCTGTGTATCAATAAAACTGATTATAAAAAACTATAAAATCCTCATGGGGATATCACATTTATGACTCAAGAGTAGGGAGTTATAAAAAGGAATATGCAGAAAACAAGAAAGAACTTTTGGACATTAAAAATATGATAGCCAAAATAAAAACTCCCAATAAAGTTGAAAGTTGAATTTAAGGAAATATTCCATAAAGCAGACCAAAAATAAGTATGGTATACTAAGAGAGAAAAGATTAAAAAATTAGAGACTAGATACTGACAAACAGAAAACCCAGAAAGAAAGAAGAGAGAAACACAGGAGAAAAAATTGCCTAAATTAAAATATGAATACAAGAAATTTCTCAGTTCTAAAGGACATGTGTTACCACATTGAAGTGGCCTATTTAGTATACAAAACAATGAATGTAAAAGGCCCTCATCAGCATGTCTCAGAGTGAAATTTCAGAAAAGCAAGGATAAAGAGATAAGCCTATGAAATTACAGAGATAAAAAAGAGAACCAAGTTCAAAGACTTACATTTCCTGATTTTGAAATTTACTACGAAGCCATAGTACGCAAAACTGTGGTACTGGCACAAGGATAGACATACAAAGCAATGGAAGGAAACTGAAAGTCCAGAAACAAACCTTCACATATATGGTCAATTGATTTTTGACAAGATTACTACAATTCAATGGAGAAAGAATAATCTTTTAAACAAATGGTGCAGGGACAAATGGCTATGCACTTGCAAAAGAATGAAGCTGTACTCCTACTTCATATTATACACAAAAATCACCTCAAAATGAATCAAAGGCTTTAATTTAAGAGCAAAAACTATAAAATTCTATATATTTTTTAAATTGGTGTCTCACTCTGTCACCCAAGCTGGAGTGCAGTGGCACACTTATGGCCACCGCAGCCTCGACCTGCTGGGCTCAGGTGATCCTTCTGTCTCAGCCTTCCAAGTAGCTGGAACTACATGCACATGCCCAGCTAATTATTTGATTTACTATAGAGATGAGGTCCCATCGAGTTGCCCAGGATGGTCTCGAACCCATGGGCTCAGGCAATCCTCGGCCTCCCAAAGTGCTGGGATTATAGGCGTGAGCCACTGTGCCTGGCTAAAAACTATAAAATTCTCAGAGGAAAACACGAAGAGTAAATCTTTGTGACTTTGGAGTGCGCAATGGTTTCTTAGCGAATATGACACCAATAGCATAAGTGAAAAAACAAATTGGACTTCATCAAAATTAAAAACTTTAGCACTTCAAAGCACAAAGCACCATCTAGAAAGTGAAAAGACACTCCTTGGAATGGGAGAAAGTTTTTGCAATTTACATATCTGATAAAAGATTTGTAACCAGAATATATAAAACTCTTACAACTCAACAACAAAAAGATAGCCCAATTTAAAAATGAGCAACAAAGTTAAATGGACATTTCTCCAAAACTAGACAACCAATAAACACATGAAAAGATACTGAATATCATTAGTTATAAGGGCTATGCAAATCAAAACCACAATGATATAGCGTTTCACACCCACTAAGATGGCTAAGATGGAAAAGACAACAAGAAGTGATGACAGCACTGTGAAGAAACTACAAACCTACAGGTGCTGGTAAAACTGTAAAATGGCACAACAACTCTGAAAAACAGTCTGGCAACTTCTCAAAATTGTAAACATAGAGTCACTCCATGACCCAGCACTCTATTCCTAGGTACACACCTAGGGAAGGGAAATGAAAACATATTCCCACACAAAAACCTGCACATGAATGTCCGTATTAGCATTATTCATAACAGCCAGACAGTTGCAACAACCTGAATGCTCATCAATTGATGTATATACAAACAAAGGTGAACTGGCCATACAATGGAGTATTATTCAACTGCAAACGAATAGAGTGCTACATGCGACATCATGGGTCAACCTAGAGAATGGTATGCTAAGTCAAAGAAGTCAGTCACAAAGGACCACATATTATATGATTCCATTTAGATAAAATCTCCAGAATAGACAGATCTATATATACAGAAAATAGACTAGTGGTTGTCAGAGATTGGGGGTAGAGAGGAAAATGGGAAGTGACGGCTAATGGGCATGGGTTTCTTTTGGGGGTGACAAGAATGTTCTACAACATTCGACAGTGGGATGGTTATACAACTTTGTGAATATATTAAAAGTGGCTGACTTGTTAAAAAGGGTGACTTTTATTTTATGTAAATTATATCTCAATAGAAATGTTATTTTAAAACTTCTACAGGAAAGAAACAAGGAATCAGGGATTAGAACAGAATCCAATTTTTCAAGAATAACACTAGAGGCTAGAAGACAATGAAATAATATTTTCAAAAATTTGGGAAAAATATTCATAATTTAGAATTCTGTGTGCAGTCAAACTACAAAGTAAGACTAAATAAAAATACTGTCAGACAGCCAAGTTCTAAAACATTTTTCTCCTGTTAATGCCTTTCTCAGAAAGCGATTGGAGGATATACTGCCTGAATACAAGGAAAAAGGCAAACCCCCAAGATAACGAGGAGACCCTTGGAGCAGTGGCTGGGCTGCCAGCCAGTGCAGATTGGAAAGGATTTGAAAAGAGAGCTTCAGGAGAAATGGCTCCAAGAAAAAAAGAGTAACAGAACTCATAAAATAATGATTGTGATGGACTATTTTGTAAGGAGTTTGACATTTTGTTGGTATGTTTGATGTTACCTTTTTGGTAAATTCATAAAAGTAAAAAAAAAGTAAGGCATTGGTAACTCTAGAAAAAACAAAGTTGTGCAAGAAAATAAATGAATTCACATTAGATCATGTGACTTGGTGATGAACAATAGTTACTTCGTTATAATAACATAGGTAACTATTGATTTTACCAAAAAGTATGAAATTGCTACTATGGGAGGATGGGGGAAGGGAACTGGGTGTGATGGGGGTGGGGTGGGAGGTGGGGATGAAAGGGTGATAAATCCTTATCACTTCAAGTAGATAATGTTAATAGAAAATGTCATTTCAATTAATAGAAAATGTCATAGTTGACAAAAACAAGAAATGGTCTCATAAACCTGTTACTCCAGAGAGAAACAACAGAAGAAATAGCTTAACAAGTTGAACAATGTTTCTTATTTGGGGATTCAGGGTGGAGTGGGTGGTGGAAGTCACTACTTTTGTTTTGTTTTATTGTTAAAGGTCACATAGAACTATTTTTCTCTTTAAACCTTTTAACATGTTTTACTCATGAGATACAACTCATAAGATAAAAACCTCTCAGCGAGTCCTTAGGAAAGGAAATATAGCAAGATGTTCCTGGTGGTTGTATCTGGACCATGACATGAGGCTGTGGGAAGATGAGTGGGCATCTCCGAAATCACCTACGGCACATGTGCATTCCTCTCAGTAAAGAACACACACACAGACAGTTTTACAAAGTGGCACGTGCCCTCTGAATGTCTCATTCTAAAGAGTCTTGAGGATGGCTTTCAGTTCCAGTGAGGGTGACTGGGAAACTTTTCTTCCAGGCTGATTATTAGCAACAGAAGTGCCAAGAGGTACCAGGGCCACTCAGGACAGTGTCAAGTGTGACTATAATTTTTCTCCTTTCTGAAATTATTCCACAGAATCTCCGTGCTTTACAGTGAAGCTTGGAGACCAAGAGAAAACTCTCACCACCCACATCTGTATGATTCTTTAAGTTTTAAAAGTTCATCTATTCATTATCTTATTTGACATTTATAGTTTGATTCCCAACAATAATCCTAGGATGGGAGAGGAAGCAAGAGACTATCAGCTCCATTTTACAGATAAGGACGCTCAGGGAATTGAAATAACCACAGGGCCCAGGCTAGGACCAAGACTCTAACTTCTAGACTTGTAGGTTTCAAATTGGTCAACCAAGTGGTAGCTGTCACAACCTAGTATGAAGGAGTATTCCTCCCAAACAGAAATACTATTTTGTAATCAAATAAACAGAAAAAACAATTCAAATGCTTATGAAGGAGAAAGAATCCTCAGTCCAGAAGTTGCTGGTACACATAATATTAATATTTATGCCCTTTAGTTTTGAACAAATATATAAAAGTATATTAATTTTAGTATAAGTGGAATCCTTTTGCTTGCTGTTCTTTTTTTGGTCTAAATTGTTTATATTTAAATTTTCATTATTTTATATGTTGATATGTATTTAGATATGTCACATACTTCTTTACATATTTTTATGTTCATATTTATGTTTGTATATTTATTTCTAGATATATTTCTACTTCTTTCTTATATACATGGAAACTCCAGATATGTTATTGTTTAACTTTTTTTTTTTAACTTAGCAATATACTGAGCATAGCTTACCACAAAGGTATATCTTTCTTAGAGGCTGCATAGTATTCAACAATATCACTGGATATTAATTTAAATGTCCCATAGTGAAGGACATTTGAGTTGTTTCACACATTTTGGTATTGTAAACAACATTGTGATAAGCATCTGTCTCCACAAAGCCCTGCACAGTTGGCTTATTTCTCTAGGATATGTTCCCAGAAGAACTTCTTGGACAAAGGGTATGTACATTAAACATGTAAATACATACGATCAGACTGCCTGTGTAGAAAGTCTATAAAATATAGACTGATCACAAAAAATATCTGAAAAAGTCTATTCCCCACACTTCAACCTGCAGCAGGCATCACCCATCTTTCAAATCTTTGCTGTCCTGATGGGTAAACACCATACCCCACCTTATTCCAATCTGTATTTCTTGGACCTCTCATCAGTCTGGGCATCTCCCATTTGTTTTCTTTTGTTTCTTCTGTTGGTTTCTTTTTGCCCATTTTTCTAGTGGGGTGGACGTCTTTCTTTGGATTTTTAAGAACGAATGAGTTGCTAATCATTCTTGCATAACTTTTGACAGATTAATACAGAAGGGAAGAGGGGATTGGGAAGCACATGCAAATTAGGACAACTGATGCTGTGGTCTTGCTTAGAACGGCTCTGCAACCCCCATGAGCAGCATTCTTGGGAGGGCGAGATGCAGGGGTCGGCACCTACCTCTACGAAGGCAAATTTTTCCTCACTGGTGTAATTGTAGCGCGTGGCTCTCTCGTACTCCTCTGCGGTGCCAGGGCAGTCCTTGTTGCAGAACTTGTCCGTGGGGTGGACCAGCTTCCACGAGTACTGGGGAGAGTGGGAATAACCCAAATGTCCATCAATCGGTTCATGGATCTGTGCCATGGAATATTATTCAGCCACAAAAAGGGAAAAAAGTACTGATTCACACTACAACATGGATATACTTTGAAAACATGTGAAATATAAGAAGCAAGATACAGGCCAGGATCGGTGGCTCAGCCTGTAATCCCAGCACTTTGGGAGACCAAGGCAAGTGGATTGCCTGAGCTCGCAGGTTCAAGACCAACCCGGGCAACTTGTTAAGACCTTGTCTCTACAATAAATCAAAAATTAGCCAGGCGTGGTAGCACGCACCTGTAGTTCTGGCTACTTGGAAGGCAGAGGCAGAAGGATCTCCTGAGCCCAGTAGGTCAAAGGTGCAGTGGCCATGAGCATGCCACTGCACTCTAGCCTGGGCGATGGAGTGAGACTCCAACTCAAAAAAAAAAAAAGAAGTTAGACACAAAAGGCCACATATTGTATAATTCTATTCCTATGAAACATCTGGGGTAGGAAACCTATAGACATAGAAAATAGACTGCTTAGGGCTGAAGGGCTGGGAAGGTGATAACACATCTCTTTTCTTTTTGAAGAGATGAAAATAGTTTAAATTTGACTGTGGTTATTCAACTCTGTTAAAAACCAATGAACCGACACCTTAAATGGGTAAATGGTATGGTATATGAAGTCCATCTCCATTAAGCTGTTAACAAAGAGTGCTGGGAAGAAGAGACAGACTCCAGGGGACAAGGCCCACATGAGGCTCTCGCCTGGGGACACCTACCACCTCCATGACGTGTGCGCTCCACTTGGATAACAGCTGCAAGCCCCTCAGGGCCAGGTCGAAGAGCTCACGATACTCCTCGTCTGACTTCTGGCTGTCCAGCCCCGAGCCCGTCACCACCTGGGGGACACTGACTGTCACACTCACTGTCCGTGTGTCTCCTTCTACACATTATTTCATTGACTCCCAGCAAGAACACTACAGGGAAGTGCTATTATTATACCCCCTTGACAGATAAACTGAGGCACAGATAAGTGCCTTGCTGAGGGCCATGTGGCCCATAAATGACTGCGGATTCACATCCAGGTGGTGTGATACCACAGCCCCACTCATAACCACCCTGGTGCACGCAAGGGTGCGCCCTTCAAATTTTTTTGACTGCACTCACAGCAGGAAGTGCAAATTATATGGTAATTCAAGAACACATACCTATGTAGTGATATTAAATATGTATATGGGACAATATTTTTCACAAAGCAATCTTAGTCTTTTTTTTTCTTTTTTTCTTGAGTCGGAGTCTCACTCTGTCGCCCAGACTGGAGTGCAGTGGTCGCTCCCGGCCACCGCAGCCTCGACCTGCTGGGCTCCAGCGATCCTTCCGCCTCAGCCTTCCGAGTAGCCGGAATTACAGGCATGTGCTACCATGCCCGGCTGATTTTTTGATTTATTGTAGAGATGAGGTCTCGCTGCCCAGGCGGGTCTTGAACCCGCGGGCTCAGGCAATTCACTCACCTCAGCCTCCCAAAGGCGCGGGATTACAGGCTGAGCCACCGAGCCCGGCTAACAATCTTAGTCTTAATACACGGGATCTTCTCTGATGTTCTATTTCATATAAAAATGCTAATCACAAACCACTAAAGTTATTTCACAACTCTCATTAGATGTGACTCACTGGAAAGCACCGGTATTGACAAAAATCTGCCTGTGTGTGTAATATTCCACAATGAAATATAATATGTATGCACATGTACATATGCACAAACACAATATATGTGCATGTGTGTATATTACATACACATAATGTAATATACAGTGGTTCTCATTATTGGAGGAGTCTCTGTATTTGTGAATTTGCTTACTTGCTAAAATGAATGTGTAACCCCCAATCAACACTTGCAGTGATTCCTCAGTCATCTGCAAACACGTGCCTGCTCCCAGCTGAGGTCAGACAAGCTGACTCTTGTTTCAGCTCTCATTCTGTAAAAAAGTGTCTTTTTGTGGTCCACGGTACCATATTTTCCAAATTTCTGTGCATTTTACTGGTGATCTAGACATTTAAAAGGATCCTCAAGCTTAGGGCTAATGTGCTGTACAGTGTTACTACGTGTAAGAAGGTTGTAACATGCCTCATGGAAAAAGCACGTGTTCTAGTCAAGCTTTGTTCAGGCATCAGTGACAGTGCTGCTAGTCATACATTAATGTTAATGGACCAACAACACAAAGTGTCTTTACACAGAAGTATATATAAAACAAGGTTACCTATTGGTCAGTTGAAGAAAATGTTGAGACCAGAGACTCACAGAAACCTAACTCTGTCTTTCTCCTTGGAGCAATGATTCAGTGTTTGCTAATTCAGAGTTGGTGGCCACTTTATAGAATATAACTATTGTGAATAATGAGAGTTGACTGTATATACACATGTATAAAGCACATAATTTCAAAAAATATCTGGCCAAACTTGCTTAGACCACACCAAAATATGATCCAAACCAAGGAGTCCTGCCACTCAAGATAAGCTACTCCTCTAGCTTTAGTTCAGAGGATCGGCACAGCTGGTTAAGAAACCTGAAAGTCTGGGCTCAACCTTGGTCCACATGGGCCACTGGTCTCATGATCACACCGCATGCATTTATTAGCCTGTCCCCATTTCAAACATGTTTCTTGTGACCAAAGATGGTCCCTGAGTTTGCATCTGGAAAGTGCAATCACTACAGTCACCCACTAGTCATGTAGTGGAAGCAATAATGTAGCCATCCATGAGTGCTGGGTAATAAAGGAATGGAAGACAGGAGTCACGTTTACCAGATAACACGTGTGTATTAGAAGGGCATATGTGGGACAAGAACCAGAAGAACGTACATATCCAAGTATCGATCACAGCTGGCTCTGGGACAGTAGGATTTTATGTGATTTTCTCTCCTTTTACCTATCTGTGCTTTTTTGTGAGCTTTGTGCTTTATCATGTTTCCATATTTTTAAAAAATTAAAAAGAAAAATTCAATAAAATATGATTATTGGGAATGCGGGAGGTTTTTCTGGCCATCTTCTGTCCTAATTGTATTTTTTAAAAATAACCTATCACTGTAGTTTAAAGGGATTTAAAGGAGTTACGAGCCTGAGTGTTCAGAATGTTGCTCTCCTGCCATCCAGGGTAGAGATGGTTTGGGTCACGTACAGGCAGAACCAGCAGTTCCTGGCCCGTTCTATCTGCCAGGCACAATGCACACTCCAGGCACCATATTGTTTCATCTTCTCAATGAACCTTCCAGGATAGAAACTATTACTACCCCCATTTTACAGATGAGGAAACTGAGGCACAGAGATGTTGAATAACTTGCAAAGGGCAGCAGCAAGACCAGAATTCACCCTAGCCTGGCTGGCTCTAAAACCAGGGCTCTTGTCCCTTCGGCCCTCCAGCCTCTGCTATGTGCTCCCTCCTTCCTCCTCCTCTCCGGCACTCTGCAGGGCCGTGTTCCTCTCCCCCTGCATCCCCGCAACTAGCGTGCTCACCTCACTGTTGCTGTAGCGTGCGAGCTCAGAGATGAAGCGGATGTGGTCATCCCGGATCTGTACCATCTGCTCACAGATGTTGTACTGGGGGCTGATGCTGCTCTGGGTACACGTCCACCTGGGCAGAAAATCACTGGTCGGAAGGGTCCAGGCCTCAGTGCCTGGGCGGGATCGGCACTAGCTGGTGCTCAGTCCACATGGCTGGCTGCGCTGGGTGGCAGCAAAAATCATTCCAACTGGGCAGGACACTGTGGGGACATAGGCCTAGCAGAACATCCTTTCTCCTCCTGGGCTGGCCTCCTTTATGACTCAATTCAGGCCTTTCCAGAGACCTGGTTCACAGTACTTACCAGTAGGAGGAGAGGGGAAGAACCATTGCCCCTCTAGGGCTGCAAAGGGCTGGGATCTGAGCAAAGAAAAAGCAGGGCAGACAACCTTGAAAACCCCTCTCTGACTCTCACAGCACTGGCACACTGTGGCTGAAGCTGATTTGGAGGGGCCTTGGGTGGGACAGTGCTTCTGCTAACAGTGATCTGGCAACATGGAAGCACCCCATGGAGAGGGAAGCCAGGGTCATTCTGAGATCAAGGTTGGCTCCAGCCCTCCACTGGACCTCTCTTCCTTTCTCCCCAACTTCTCTTTCTCTCTCTCTACCCCCTTTCCTCCTTCTCTCTTCCTCTCTTCTTTCCCCTCAACTCTTCTTGGAAAGATGTCACTGGTAAAACCAACCTGGATTGGAGAAGAAACGATCAAGTGAAAATCTTCACTCTCCATCCCCAAGAGCAAAAGGAAACCCCCTTTACTCTCTTCTGCCGTTGGGTGCTGGTAACCCAGCAGACAGTCTGCACGAGCCCCAGATGAGGCAGAGAGACATTCTGGGGCACACTTTACATTTCAAAGGAAGCCCTGAAGTGGTCCTCATAAGAACAGCAGTATGACAACAGCCTTTCTCAGGCATATCCTTTGGTGTCACTTTTGAGATACATGTGTGGGGACAGGTCCTCTCTGACACCACCCTGGTCACCCCCCAGCCTCCACTTCCAACCAGCTTCAGGTGCTGAGAAGCCACGCATGGAAGAGTGAGGAAGCCAAGGTTAGCATTCTCCCTCTTGGCATTTCCTACAAAACCTCTCCACACACTCACCTCCAGAAGGTGATGAGACTGAACTAGTGTTCCTTGGGGACATGCATTAGCAGGGGCTCCAGGCAGGGGAAGATCAAAGACTCTCCATCTGTGTCTTTTTAAGAGACTAACACTCTCATCCTTGACTAAAGGATGTGGGATCTCCCCACCTCCACATGGAAAGGCCACACTCACCCAACTTAGGGTGGGGAGTACCCAGAAGGAACCTTCCTAACAGCCTCAGGGACCAAAGGAGCCACGAGTGGCCAGATGCCCCTTGACTCGCATGAGGTCTTCACATAGATGACCTGTCATCAGCTTTATACAGTGACCTAGATGAGCCTGCCAACCCCCTTCATAGCTGGAACCGTCCAGCTAGACACTCCACAAAGGACTTTCTGCAGGAGCACAGAACTCTAGCAGAGGATCTGGGTGGGGAAGAACCACGCCACCTCTTAGCACCTGAGCACTGAGGGCTGGCCCTTCCTCCCTGCTCCTCAAGGGAGGGAGCAGGACTCCTGCTGTCCCACTGCGGGGAAGCGTGGGTCACCACTGGACCGGGCAAGGGGCGTGCTGTGCTCTGAGCCCTTTTGAACCTGGTAGCAAAGTGTGGATGTAAAAGGGCTCAGAGCGCCCTGCACGGCCCCCCTCCGGCCCCTGCCGGTGTCCTCACAGAATCCATCTGCCCAGGGCTCTGGGAAGGGAGGAGGGGCTGAAGTGGCCCCTCAGCTCCCTGCCCGGGCTGGGCATCCTTGTGGGAGCCGAGAGACATTACGGCAGGCACTCACTTGGACTTGTTCTCTTCATAGTGAGCACTGGTCTTAATGTATCTGGCCAGCTCTATCTGCATGTCGCCGAAAAGGGGCACCACCTGCAGCTGCTGCAAAGGAAGCAAACATAGCTTGTGAGAGGCCAGGGTGGGGCTAGGGCAGCCTGCGAAGCCATCCTGAAGGGGAGGCGGGCCTCTGAGCATTCCTGCAGCCAACCCCTCGTCTCTGCTTCTGGGGGTGCTATGGTGTGACCCGGAAACCCACAGGAGCCCCGGCCTGTGTTCAGGTCCTGGCCGGCCTCCAACCAACTCTACGTTCCAGGAAACAGCCTGGAGAGGCAAAGTGACTTGTCCAAGGTCACCTGGCTGGCAGAGAGGATGAAGGCCGACCAGATGCTGTGCTGCCCTGTGCGGGGTCCCTTCTGTTCTCTGTTCTCCAGCTCAGAGGATTCTTGCAGCTCTGAACTCTGGACTAGAAGTGGGTGCCATCCTGACCGGGTGTGGCCTTCTGGAGAAACCACACTGTGAAAGTAATTAAAGCCATAATAATACCTAACACCAGGGGACAGACAACTTCCAAGCAAAGGCTGGGGCAAATGCACAGTGGGGGGTAGGGGGGTTATCTGCTGCCTGCTTCTCAGGCACTAGGAACTGTGCCAAGTACTTTAAAAACAGTACCTCAAATCACATTATAACCCTGTGAAGTCAGGACTGTCACCACCCCCATTTCATAGATGAAGGGGCTGGAGCTTAGACAGCTTAAGTGATTTTTCACAAAATCAGACCAGCTATAAATCAGGGAGCCCAGATGACAACCCAGGGCTCCGACTCATCTACAGAACCCTCCTGAGTTCTCGAGGGAGCCCTACAGAGCAGGTATCCTCAGCACTCATGTTTCTCAGGCAGGGGAACTCAGCATAGGGAGATTTAGTGACCTTCCCTAGGTTATCCCCCTCTATCAAGAGGCAGAGCCAGTCTTACATCCAGGCTTGCCTGTGCAGAGGCTGAATTCTTCCCTCCCCACCCCCTTATTCCTGCCGACTTAAAGCCGACTGTGCAAGGATCTCCCCAGAAAAGCCCTGTTTCCATTTGGGCAACTCCAGAGAAAAGTGGAAGTTCCAGCCTTGAAAAGAAGCCAGGCAGAACCTCAGGACTCCTATAGGTGGCGTCTGCCCATTCACCTTAACCTTGAAGAGTTCAGGGGTGAGGAGACCCAGGGGCCCACCTGGTGCCTTCTATACATCTTTCAGGGCTTTTGCTGTGATTGTGAAACTAGGCTTTCCCATGTCTGAGCCCTCAGGCCCACTTCATGCCTGCAGGGTCCAATGCCAGAGTACCTTGATGGTCTGGAATTTAATTCCAAAGCGTGGAATTCCCTTGCAAAAATCCCAAAGGTGGCTGGGTATGGTGGCTCACACCTATAATCCCAGCCTTTTGGGAGGCTAAGGCAGGAAGATGGCTTGAGGCCAGGAGTTTGAGGCTACAGTGAGCTATGATCGCATCACTGCACTCCAGCCGGGTGACAAAGACCTTGTCTCAAACAAACAAATACTCAAAGATTTAATTTCACTGTAAGTTTTTAGTTTTAAAGCTCTGGGGCTGAAGATTAAATCTCAGAGGTACTGAAATGGACTGAATGTACGATGGGCACAGATGAGGCATTCTGCCTGGAGGTGAGGGTCAGCTGAGGGGGCCTCCAATGGGCCAGGCTGTGATTCTGCAAAGGTGAATCAATTTAAAATCCAGTCTTTGATCATCCCGTTTCTGTGAGCTCCGGTTTATACCGGAAATTAAAGCCAGCGGTGTCTTCTGGGATGTACTTCTTCCTTTGGGTGACAAGGAATTTCCAGAAAAGAGAAAAGCAGCAGCATGCAGAAAGGATTGCAGGGCCTTCCAGCCAAATCCCATGGAACCGTGTTTGGCCTTCCAGGGGCAGCCTTCCACAGCACGATTCCTCCACCAATGGCAGTTGGAGACCCTGTCGTAGCCATTCTCTTCCTCTTCCTCCTCTTGGGATTTTTGGAGCTATAGTTCAATGAACAAGCCCCATAGTTTTCTGGCTAACTTCATTCTTTCCCCAAAGACATCCTGGCTCTGGTGATCCCAGCCCCCTGCCCAGTTCCAGCCCCAGTTGCTGACCTTGAAGAATTTGTCGATTTTGCCAAGATTGATTCTCTTCTTGGCATCCAGCTTGTAAATGTTACTGACGTTTCCATCCATCAGGTAGAGGCCAAAGCCCATCACCTAGAACAGGAAGGGGCAGAGCACAGAAACGAATCACATCCATTGGAAATGTGTATACACACACACTGTAGAAACACACATTCTATTTTTAAAACCCACATATCTTCAAGCAAGGACAGGAAACACAGGCCTAATCTCAACAAGAAATTTCATATGTTACTCTGGCAGCCACTTCTTCAGTCCTTATTATGGGCCAGAGTCTGTGCTTAGGGCGTTGGCAAGCATAATTCTCCCTTCTCACAGCAATCTTAAGTTCTACACAATAACCTTATTATGTGGATGAGGACTCAGAGACACAGAGTGAGACAGCTGGCTAAGGTCACACGGCTAAGTTGCAGACACAGGAGCTGACCAGGACCCATTGACAACATTTCTGCATTTGGGTCCTTCCTGAGAGAAAGGCCTGAGTCTAGTTCCTTGTTGGGTCCCTGGGACACCGCACATCACAGGCGCTTGATGAAGACTTGCTGACAGTGATTGAAGATAAAAATATCCAACCTTTCCCCACAGAAACGACCCCATAAAGGTTCCCTGGAGCCACCAGTGACTTTTTAACAACAAATCTCTTCCTGGAAATGCCCCATGAGTGGCTGGTGCTCTTGATTCCCACCCACCTAACAGTCTCCTGATTGCCGGCTCATTTTGCTCCTTTTCATAAGTACAGTGGAAGGAGCCCAAAGAGCTGCGTGGCCACAGACAGTCACTTCTCTCTGTGCCTCTATTTCTCATCTGACACTAGGGGGTGGACCAGAGAGGTAAGGGTGCTTCCCCTGTGGGTGCATTTTGTTCTGCAGGATGAACTTCAGGATGCTCTGTTTCAGGGTGGATGGTGCCCCTTTATTGACTGACACAAAGAAGAAAATACCCACGTGGGAGCCAGATGGCAGAGGGCGGGAACCCAGAGGGAGGCAACAGAAAAGTCAGGTGTGGAGGGATTAAAAGTAGCTGAAAGAAGGGCCTGAGGATTAGAAGGCCACATCTGAGGCTGCTGTGGACGGGAATGTGGTAGCCTAGTCTGTGGAAGCAGCACGCCTGGGGAGAAGACAGTTACCGCCTAGGCACGGCGCTGGAGGCGAGGGGGTGGCTGGATTTTGGGTGGCTTCTCTGGATTTCTGAAGGTCTGGAGGAAGCCAGCATGAACAAGTCACAAATCCACCCCACATACTTTATCGAGGTGCTATGAAATGTAACAAGGGACATCAACATAGGGCTGGGATGCTTAGAAGAGCAGGGCTGCCAAGAACGAGGGAAAAAGGAAAACTCATCCGAACTTTGAGAGCTGAGGTTCTGGAGAAGAAAAAAGAATTGGGGCAGCTTCTTCATTCCAGCGCTACAACTGTTGGGTGTAAGAAGCAACCTAAGCAGCTCCCAATGGAATAAAGGCCAAAGAAATGAAGGCTCATCCATGTGATTGGCATTAGTTAATAGCTGCATAATATTCCCATATTTATCCCATGCATTTATCCCATATTTCATCACATGGGATAAAATGGATACACGCTTATATATGTTGCAAATTTTTAATGCTCTACCATATATTTGAGAATTTCCACAATAATAAATAGGACAGCAATTTTGGAATGAAATGTGTAAACTGATGAAACCATTGTGATCATGTTGGCAAAATACAGCAAAAGCCTGAAGATTCTGTCTTCCCTTTGGATGATCAATTTCTTTCCCAGGAAGTTTGGCTTGATAAAACGATGTGAACTGACTGTGTTACAAAGATGGTCAATGCAGGTTAGGCACGGTGGCTCACGCATGTAATCACAGCACTTTGGAAGGCCAAAGTGAGAGGACTGCTTGAGCCCAGGAGTTTGAGACCAACCTGAGCAACATAGAAAGACTCCATCTCTACAAAAAATCAAAAAATCACCCAGGTATGGTGGTGTATACCTATAGTCCCAGCAACTCGAGAGGTTGAGGAGGGGAGTATCAATTGAGTCTAGGAGTTGCAATGACCATGCCATTGTACTCTAGCCTGGGCAACATAGTGAGACCAAGTCTCTTAAAAATATGGCTCATGCCTATAATTCCAGCACTTTGGCAAGCAGAAGAGGGAGGACTGCTTGAGCCCAGGAGTTTGAGACTAGCCTGGACAACATAGTGAGATCCTGTCTCCAGAAAAAATAAAAAAAATTAAAAAGTTGGACATAGTGGCATATCCCTGTAGTCCCAGCTACTCGGGAGGCTAAGGTGGAAAGATTGCCCGAGCCCAGGAGGTCAAGGCTGTGGTGAGCCAAGTTCATACCACTGCACTCCAGTCTGGGTAACAGGGTGAGATCCTATCTCTAAAGAAAAAAAAACCGGGGGGCGAAGAGGAAGATGGAGGCCTAGCCAGTCAGACTATGCAAGTCCCAGTGTAAGTGAGCGACTGTTTGGAAAATTCTTTGTAAGTGTTGGTGAATGAGCGTGTAAGGGGCTGGTCGAGTGAGGGCTCGGGAACTAGCAGCCACTGCTCTCCTGGTAAAGCAGCTGGTGCTGCCATTATCAGCTTGGACCCTAGTGCTTCTCAGGAGACAGAAGCTGAGCACCCTTTAAAAAAAACTGACAAAAGTCTTCCTGGGAAGAAGCTGTGGGGAGAGACTGCCGGCTCCAGGCTCTGCCTCACCACTACAGCACCTGGCCAGACACTGGCAGCAAGGGCTGGGGACGGAGCCCAGAGACAGAGCCCCACTGGAGAAGACAAAAGAGGCACCCTGCCACCATCTTGAAAACAGGGTAGAAAAGTGCTCCGGCTTGCTCACCACGAAACAACAGACCTGATCTCTGTGACCAGTGGGGTCAACTACTCAGGGGTTGATCATGACCCAGAGGGACTATCCTGAAAGCACTCTGGAGGGACAGAACAAGTGCTGAGTCTCAAGTGCCCTCCTACCCTGACTCAGCTGCAGGACAAAGGACGTGGCCAGGAAAGGACAACGAAGACCTCCAAAGAGATCAGCGGTGAGTCCCAGGCTGACCCAACCCTCCTCTCCAGCAATCCTCTGAACGTCAGACAAGGCTGGGGCACAACCGAGAGGGAGGAACCCAGGTGGAGCCTGGATTTCAGTCACAATAGGAGGACTCCACTCTAGGCTAGGCCTGGCTGAAGCACCTCCCGCCAGTACCTGGGGAGGAAACAGTGCTGTACCTCCCCACCAGAGGGGATCCCCCTGACCATACTAGAGTGGGAGGGGAGGACTGCAGCCTCACCCCCCCACCACTGCCCCCTCCACCTTCCCTGGTCCAGACACCGGGGAGAAAGTGAATAAGGCCAAGCTCTGCAGGAAACCGCAGAGGGGCAGCTGAGAGGAACAAATATGGAACCTGCCACAAGAAGGCAGGGTTTAAAAAACGTTTTTTTTTTATTTTTTAAATTTTTTGCCTGTTTGTTAGTTTTTCTAATTTTTAAAATATTTTTCCTTTGTGCATTAATGTGTATGTGAGGGTTCAATCTGCATACACCCTTTTTTCCTCTTCTTTTGTTTTTTGTTTTCTGTTTATGTGTGTATGTGAATGATTGACTGTTCATCTTCAGTTTTTGTTGTTGATTTGTTTTTGCTCTTCGTTCTTCTCTTCTTTTTAGTTTAATGTGTGTAAATATATGTGTGAGGGTTCAATCCAAATTTCTATTTTATTATTATTATTTTTTTTCCATTCTCTTTTTCTTCTCTATTCATTTTGTGCTGGGGGTGTGTGTATGTGTGTGTGTGGTGTGTGTGTTTGGTTTTCCTGATTTTTTTGTGGTTGTTGCTTTTTTGTTTTGTTTTGCTTTGTTATTATTCTAGTTTGTTTTGATGTGTGTGTGTGTGTGTGTGTGTGTGTGTGTGTGTGTGTGTGTGTGTGTGTGTATTCAATTGTTTTTTGCTTTGGTTTCTGCTTTCATTGTTCTTTTTTTTTTTTTCATTTTTCATTTTATTTATTTTTAACTTTTGCCCATCTTATTTCATTCTACTTTTCTCTGTTCTCCTCATTGTTGTTACTGTATCTTGGATTCGGGGTACACACATGAACCCACTGCACTGTCATATAGAGTGGTGGTGGGGAGTGGGTCTCAGGGAATCCATACCACAATCAGTGAACACTGTGATTTGAAGTAGTTTCTGAATCCTAACTTCCCATCCTCTACCTTATTCAACTTTCAAAACTACAAGAGACAGCAAAGCTTCCCACCCACAGTTCTGTTTCAAAATAGAACAAATCCAGAGTCCAGTGCAAGGAAGAATAGAGGGCTAAGCAAACGTCAGAAGTGAAAGCCTCTCCCACTGCCACTGAATAATGGAACTAAAGAGAAAAGAGAGAGATCTGTCACAAATGAGAAAACCAACAAATGAAAAACCAACAGGTAATTTACAGTATAACAAAGAGGAAACATCTGAAAAATCAGACCTCAGAGCACAAACAATGGAAGTCACCAACGACTGGCCCAGAATATGACAGGGATTAGGGGATGGATAGAAAGAGTGAATAAGACTCAAGAAAGACAAGATGCAACACTGAAAGAACTCGTAACAGATTTTGGCCATAAAAAATTTCATCCAGCAAATATATAACAAGATGACAAGCATGGAAAGCAGAATTAATCTAGTAGAAGAAAGAATCTCAGAACTTAAATATGGAAATAACCCAATCTGTAAAAAACATAGATATAAAACTCAGAAAGAACAAAGCCTACGAGAGATGTGTGATTACATTAAGAGGTTGAACCTACACCTGATTGGGATCCCAGAAGAAGAAAGGGAAATGGAGAACACCTTGGAGTAAGTATTCCAGGAGGTTTCCAAGAAAACTTCCCCCATCGCACCAGAGATGTGACTAGCCAAATACAAGAGATACAGAGAAACCCCCCCAAGACATAAAATGAGAAGACCAACCCCTAGACACATTGTAATTCACCTACACAAAGCAGGCACAAAAGAAAAAATTCTAAAGGCAGCAAGAGAGAAAGGTCAGACTACCTACTGGAAAAAAACCAATCAGAATAGTAGCAGACAGATCAGCAGAAATACTACAAGCAAGAAGGGACTGAGGTCAGTATTCAACGTCCTCAAGGATAAACAATTTCAACCAAGAATTTCCTACCCAGTTAAGCTCAGCTTCATCAGTGATGGAGAATTAAAGTCCTTCCCAGACATCCAATCCCTAAGAGATGATGCAGCTTCCAGATCAGCTCTACAGGAGATGCTTAAAAAGGTATTAAGCACAGAAGAAAGAAGAAAAAAAAAAGAATGACCTCACACTTCCCAAGAGAACAGCAGAGCACAGAATCAACAGAGAATACGTTGCAACAGCAAACTTGAAAACACACACACATTTCAACCCCAAAGCTAAAAGAAAATAAGCAAACAAAGAAAAAACTTTATAAGAACCTCATGACAGGGATAAACAATCACATTTCAATAATCAGCCTGAATGTGAATGGACTAAATGCACCACTGAAAAGACACAGAACGGCAAACTGGTTAAGAAACCGTGACTCTATTACTTACTGCATCCAGGCAACTCATCTCACCACAAGAAACACACACAGACTCAAAGACAGAGGATGAAAGATGTGTGTCCAGGCAAATAGATCACAAAAGAAGGCAGGAGTCACAATCTTAATATCAGACCAAACAACCTTTAAGCTATCAAAAATGTAAAAAGATACGAAAGGACACTACATAATGATAAAAGGTTCAACCCGTCAACAAGAAATATTCATCCTAAACATACATGCACCCAACACAGGAGCACCAGCATTTATAAAGCAACTACTAAGTAAACTAAACAAAGATATTGACTCTAACACTACGATAGCTGGGGACTTGAATACTCCACTAACAGCCCTAGACAGATCATTGAGGCGAAAAAACCAACAAGGAGATCCAAAACCTCAACTTGACACTTGACCAAATTGACTTAATAGATACCTACAGAATGTTCCATCCAGCAACCACAGAATATACATTCTACCTACCACCACAGAGAATGTACTCCAAGATTGATCACATTATTGGTCATAAAATAAGCACAGACAAACTCCATAAGGTTGAAATATTGCCATACACCTTCTCAGACCACAGTGGAATAAAAATAAATATCAACACCAACAAAATTTCCCCAAAGACATGGAAACTAAACAGCATGATGCTGAATGACCATTGGGTCAACATCGAAATCAAAACAGAATTAAAAGATTCCTGGAAGCAAATGAAAATAAAGAAACATCTTACCAAAACCTCTGGGATGACATGAAAACAGTTCTAAGAAGAGAATTTATATCTCTACAGACATACATCAAGAAAATGGAAAGATCACAAGTTAACAGCCTAACAAATCACCTAAGGGAGCTGAAAAGACAAGACCACCAAAATCCTAAGTTTAGCAGAAGAATCCAGATCGCCAAAGTAAGAGCCCAAATACAGAACCCAGAAGACAAAAATAGCATACAAAAAATCCACAAACTGCTCAAAGAAATCCAAGAAGATACAAACAAATGGAAAAATATTCCACGCTCATGGACTGGAAGAATCAACATTGTTAAGATGTCCATCCTACCAAAGGCTATCTACAGATTCAACGCAATACCCATTAAGTTACCAACATAATTCTTCTCAGACCTGGAAAAGACAGAAATTCATATGGAAACATAAATGACCACGAATAGCCAAAACAATCCTTAGCAAAAGAAAAAAAGCAGGCGCTATCATACTTCTAAACTTTAAATTTTACTATAAGGCTATAATAATCAAAACAGCCTGGTATTGGTACAAACAGCCTGCATACGGGACAGAGATTCCGGAAGCAAAACCTCAATTTCTCAACCAACTCATCTTTGACAAAGTCTCCACCAACTACCACCAGGGAGAGGAGAACCTATTTAGTAAGTGGTACTGGGAAAACTTGCTGATCACATGCAGAAGATTGAAACAGGACCCCTGCCTATCACCATACACAAAAATTAACTCTAAATGGATCAAAGACCTAAAGGTAAAACCTCAAACTATAAGAACCTTAGAAAACACAGGAGACACCCTTATGGAAATTGGAACTGGCAACCAATTTCTGATCAAAACCCCAAGTGCCCATGCTATAAGAGGTAAGATAGACAAGTGGGACCTCATCAAACTAGCAAACTTCTACAAAGTCAAAGAAATCATCAGGAGAGCAGGGAGACAGCCCACAGAATGGGAAAAAATATTTGCCAACTCTATGTCTGACAAAGGCCTAACACCGATAAGGATCTATAAGGAACTCAAATGTGCCAAAAGGAAAAAAACAATCTATAAGGAACTCAATCTATAACTCAATCTATAAGGAACTCAAACGTGCCAAAAGGAAAAAAAACAAACAGCCCCATTGAAAAGTGAGCAAAAGACATGAATAGATACTTCTCAAAAGAAGATACACGAGCAGTCAACAGACACATAAAAAGTGCTCAGCCTCACTCATCATCAGAGAAATGCAAATCAAAACCACATTGAGATACCACCTAATCCCAGTAAGAATGGCCATCATTAACAAAACAACAACAGATGCTGGTGAGGATGAGGAGAAAAAGGAATGCTTCTATACTGCTGGTGGGAATGCAAACTAATATAATGCAACCTCTTTGGAAACCAGTGTGGTGATTTCTAAAAGAACTAGAAATTGACCTTCCATACAACCCAGCAATCTCTCTATTGGGAATATACATGGAGGAAATCAAATCATTCTACAAAAAAGACACCTGCACACCCATGTTTACTGCAGCACTATTCATAATAGCAAAAACATGGAACCAACTGTGCTGTCCATCAAAACTGGATTAGATTTTTTAAAATGTGGTAAATATACACAATGGAATATTATGCAGCCATAAAGGACAAACATATGAACTTCGCAGTAACTTGGATAGATTTAGAGTCCATCATACTCAGTGATCTATCGCAAAAACAAAGAACAAAGCTACCATATGTTCTCACACATAAGCGGATCTTGATCAATTATCATAAGACTATAAGAAAGGAATTGGCAGTAATGGGAAACTGCCAGGGGAGTGAGGGAGCACACCTCATCAGCAAGGGTACCTGCATAAAGAACATTTTGTATACCTAACTCGGAATTGTACCCCACATCTTTAAAAATAAAAAAAATTTTTAAAAAGAAAAAAATTAAAACCCAAGCATGTTCAATGCAGTTTAGGAAGAAAACATATATATTTTCCAGCCGTAGGGATTTATTAAATGACAACATCCCCATACAATGGAATACTTGGCCATCATTAAGCACGACATTGCAGAAATATCCTTGATGACATCTTGGAAGGTAAATGTGACATCTTAAGGGAAAGGAGCAGGTTACAAACCATGATATGTAGTAAGATCTGTATCGATGTTTAAGAAAGAAAAAAACATTATAAGATGGAGGTGAGGGAGCCCGGCCCGCGGGAGTTATACCTTGAGGAGCATGTGTTTCTCGCTGGGGGTCAGGTACATCTTGTTCTCATAGTAATCCACGCAGATGTTGACAATGTCGGCCAGCAGCTCCTCGTAGCCCGGGATCACTTCCAGCTGCTGATGGAGACACTGAGCAGCAGCGCCGCCCTCCGGTTAGGTTGGGCAGCGCAAGCGCACTGCACCCGTAACACACCCGCAGAAAGCCTACAACTGGCGCTGCTGACTTAGCACCAGGACGGCTCCCAGGGGGAGGGAAGCCTGCATGTCAGCGCCTGAATCCTCTCAACGCCCCGCAGTGGCTGGTCAGAATTCTGCACACCTCCTATGGCAGGGAATTCACCCCCTCCCCCGGGGTCCTCCATTTTATTCCCTGGCAGTTCTGATGGTTAGAAAGTGCTTTCTTGAAATCAAATATCACATGTTCTCACTTATAAGTGGGAGCTAAACACTGGGCATACACGGACATAAAGATGGATATAATAGACACTGGGACTCTCAGAAAAGGAGGGAGGGAGGGGGCAAGGCTGAAAAACTGCCTACTGGGTACCATATTCACTATCCGGGTGGCAGGCTCAATAGAAACCCAAACCTCAGCATCACACAATATGCTCATGTACCAGACCTACACAAGGAACCCTGAATCCAAAATTTTAAAATGACAAAGAGAGCACTTTATTGGCTGGAGCTGAAAAGCAGTTCAGCTTCACAGCAACAGGCTTCGAGTCATTTCTGCTTAGTTCTCAGCATGTGGACTTATCCACAACATCTCAGGTGATGGCAGGGAAGACCCACTCAGGGGAGGGCTGGGCTGGCCGGGTTCTCCCTCGTGGCAGGACACAGCAGTACAGGACTATCTCCTGTTAGAGAAGAGTCTGAGATTCCTCACGCCAGGCCCTTTCTCTACAAAGGATCAACTGGGCCCCTGCAGGGTATCCAGTGGAGGGTATTGTTCATGCTCCCCTCAGGGAGGGTGGCTGGGTCTCCAGGAAAGAAAACCTGGAACCTTGACTGCCCAGCAGCTCCTGTAGTTAACAGAGAGTAGGAGGGGTCCTTTTACCCAGAGTCTTGGAGATAGGGATCTGAGCCTGAAAACCTGGGCAGGTGGAGGGCCCCTCTCAGTTCTGGCCTGGGTCCTGCAGATATTCTTGCTGATGCCTGTTTGGGTTAAACTGACCAAGAGCAAGATGGGTTCCATCATGTTGGACAAAATGGGAGAGCGACAGCTGAGGGGGTTCCCTGGCAAAGCAGAGGCAGCAATAACAGCTATGTCTTCCTATGTCCTCACCATTTGTCGGGCTCTGCACGCTAGGGGCTTTTTATATAGAATCTCATTTATTTCTCATGGCAATTATGAGAATGAATAGATTCTCATAATAGTCTCAAAATAACAGGTTCTTTCAGGTGAGGAAACTGAGGCTTAAACTTTGCCCAAGGTCTCACGATGAATTGGGATGCGAAAACAAGGCTACCTCAGTCCTGAGCCCACCCTCTCAGTCTCCACACTGCTGCAGAGCAGAGCACTGGCTACAGGGGATTTCAGAGAATGCAAACTGCAGAGGACGAGAGGTTCATCTGTGGGCGGGAGGGGAAACTGAAGTCAGTGGAGACGGAAGCTATGGACAGAGCTTGTCTACTTGGACTCGTGGTCCACCCACCCTCTCGACCTCTGCCTGCCTGTGTCCCCGAGGTGCCAGGACTAATAAGAAGTCTGCTCTCACCTGGGTGATCCTGTTGTGGTTGGCCAGGAACATGGAGAGATTCTGTGACTCCTGGATGGACTGGGGGTCCGCCATTTTCCTCAGGAACTGTGCCGCCCTGAAGTGCAGAGAGCGGGAGCTGCAGCAGGGACCACCCAGGCACAGCAGCCTAAACCACGCCTCATGGGCTCCCACTCCCCCAACCCAGAGTGACGTCGTCCCGGAGGTCAGGGAGCTCTGAACAGCTCAGGCAGCTAATGTCAAAGCAGAGTGTGTGCTGAAGTCATTCCCCACAGGGCTGCTTCTACCCTTGCAATAAGGGTCTCTGAAATTAAAAGGCAAGAACGTACTGAAGGCCTCCAAAATCTCAGAAAGTTCAAGGGAAACATCAATAGCCAGGAGCGGTGGGGCAGAATCATAAGCAGGATGCTGGAATGCACCTGTTGTGTGTCCTGTTGTTTACAGGCAAGCCTCCGTGTTTTTACAGCAAAGCACTGTATGGAAAATGGGAGTCCCAGCAGGACTATGGGTGCAAGGCTGGTGGGTGCAAGCAGGACTTTGCAGAGGAAAAATGGCTGCCTGATGTCCCAGCCTACCCTGGAGGTGGTGCTGCTGGCATTCCCATGAACTGCGAAAATGGCCATGACACCCACCTCGCTCATGAACTAGCCGGGCTGTGGAGGATGTTAGCCGTGATGCAGAGAGAATTTGGGGGAAGACATTGCACCCTGAGCTGTCTATGAAATCGGTGTGAAGGTGCCACTTCTGAGTCAGCCTTTTTTATTTTTCTTTTAAAATAGAAACGAGGTCTCACAATGTTGCCCAGGCAGATCTCAAACTTCTGGGCTCAAGCAATCCTCCCGCCGCAGCCTCCCAAAGTGCTAAGATTACAGGCATGAGCCAACCAACATGCCTGGCCCTGAGTCAGTCTTGAAATGGGCCCTGCCTGCTGGGCACCCCAGGCTTCATGGGAGGATAAATGGTGAGAATCAGCCTGTTCTCTCCAGTGACCTTGGAGCCCCAGGAGGATATGGCTAATGAGGGCCCCTCTTTATCAGAGACACAGCAAATCCTTCCCAGGACACTCTGGGGCCCATGGAGCCTGTACCAACATGGAGGATACCTGCTGCTTTGGACTGCCCTTCCCCACTTTTGGGTGGCTATACCCTGATTCCTGGGGAGGAGCGACCCCTCCCCTACTCTCAGTCCTTCTTTCTTGTGAGCTGACACATACCCGACTTCAAGAACAGGTGCTGGCCGGGTGCTGTGGTTCACACCTGTAATCCCAGCACTTTAGGAGGTTGAGGCAGGAGGATCACTTGAGCCCAAGAGTTCTAGATCAGCCTGGGCAACATAGCATGACCCTGTCTGTACAAAAATTAGTCTGGCATGGTGGCATACAGCGGTCATCCCAGCTACTTGAAAGGCTGAGATGGAAGAACCGTCTGAACCCAGGAGGTCAGGCTGCTGATCGTGCCACTGTACTTCAGCCTGGACAACACAGTGAGACCCCAACTAAAAAATTAAAAAAAAAAAAAAAAAAGAACAAGTGTCAATCAGAGCATCCCCAACCTCTTTGAGTCTTAATATGTGACTCCAAGGCAGTCCTGCCCGGGACCTTCACAAAAGCCTTTGGGAGGAGGAACATCCTTTCCTTCCTCAGATGCCGAGGTTGCCACATTGGCTGAATGGAAACACTGGAGTCCACCCTAGGCCTGAGTCCACCCTAAGCCGACACAGAGGAACATGAAGCCGAGAAGAGGAGAGGCCCCGGCTGATGTCACCCTCGGGTTGCCCGGGGTCAGGTGTGCCTGGACAGCCCAGGCCTGTGAGCCCCCTCATTCCCTTCTTTTACACAAGCAGTTAGAATGGGCTTTCCAATTCTTGCAGAAATGGACCAATGTAGCCATTTCACAACCTTACTGGTCCCATGGTGCATGGGGCTACAGAAGCACTGCTGCTCCACGGATGGGGAAGGAGGCTTTGACTCTATCTGGAGACACAAAGCTCAGCAAAGATCAAGTTCTCCAAAGCCCAGCTCGGGGCCCCGTTCCTCAAGCTCATGGAATCAGGCCTGGGGGGATGGCCTTCCCTTGGCAGCCCGGGAGGAGGGGTCCAGCTAGGGGACAGGGTGGGGTGGGTGCCCTGACCTCTTGTAGGCAGAGTGGTCGTTCTTGACACTGCACTTCATGTTCTTCAGCTCGTCCAGGACGGCGAACATGTTGATGAACTTGCCCAGGGTCAGGAGGTAGGCCTCGGAGACAAAGTCCTTCCGACGCTCAGCGTGGCACAGTCGCTTCACCTCGCTGCAGAAGCGTTCGATGGCCTTGCGCTGGGGGCGGGGGGAGCGAGTGAGGCCAGCAGCCCTGTGGGACAGCTCACCGCACTGTCGCATGAGGGTAGGGCCCAGGCTCCCTGGGGCCCTCGTCAGGGTTGGGCCCTTTGGAGAAAGGCAAATCTGCTGCACAGTCCTTCTCAAAAGCATCCTTAAAGCCAAAGCTGATGTCTAGAGTGGCGCCTGGAAGCTGCCCCCAAATGAGGCATACCAAACACACTCATTCAACACACATTGGCTGAGAAGCCTGTCTTATTCCTGTGTGTATCCCCAGCACCTAGGACTGTGTCAGGCACCAGACAGTAAGAAGGTAGAGACTGAGAGGGAGTCATTCAGAGAGAAAAAGAGGCTCATTCATTCTGTATCTATTTAATGAGCATCCTCCATGTGCCAGAAACCATTATAGGCACTGGGGTAGAGCAGGGAACAAAACAGAAACACAAACAAGCAAGCAAACTCTGTCCTAAGGACTTCTCTAGTGAGGGCAGACAGAAAACAAAATAAATACATTATCTCTATCAGAACGAGACACATGCCCTGGAGAAAAATAAAGATGGGAAGGGAGTGGGAAAGACTCAGAGGAGCTGCTTCTCTCAGGAGGAAGATTAGAGAAGCAATCATTTGAAAGAAAAGAAGGGGGGGAGGGGGATGGGATTAACAGTAGCAAATATCTGTCTGGGGATGGGGAAACACCTCTTATCAACAGGGTGCCTGAATGAAACGTAATTGTACACCTAACCCTTAACTGTACCCCACAAAACCATAATAAAAAATATTGATAATAAAAAAAAAAAGAAAGAAAGAAAAGAAGGAGAAAGACACAGGTAACTGAGTGGCCAGTGCAAAGGCCCCAAGGCATGCTCTAGGGATGGGAAGGAAGCCAGGCTGGCCAGAGTGAGTGCAGAGAAGGAGCTAGAGATGGAAGTGGGGATGGAGGACAGGCTAATGCCTATTGTAGGCCTTTGTGAGGGCTCAGGCTTGGACACCAAGCAAGTCATGGAAATACAGGAAGTTCTGAGGCAGGAAAACGTGGTTTGAATTATACTCTAAAGCAGGGGTCTCCAATCCCCGGGGCACAGACTGGTACCAGTTGTGGCCTGTTGGGAACTGGGCTGCACAGCAGGAGGTGAGCAGTGGGTGAGCAAGTGACACTTCATCTATATTTATAGCTGCTCCCTATCACCCACATTACCACCTGAGCTCCACATTCTGTCAGATCAGCAGTGCATTAGATTCTCATAGGAGCACGAAACTTATTGTGAACTATGCATGTGAGGGATCTAGGTTGGGCACTCCTTATGAGAATCTAATGCCTGATGATCTGAGGTGGACCTGAGGTGGTGATCTAGCACTGGGGAATGGCTGTAAAGACAGATTAACATTAGGAGTGAGGTTTGACTGCACATTCTCTCCACACCCTGGTTCATAGAAAAATTGTCTTCTATGAAGCCAATCCCTGATGTAAGGTCAGGGACCGCTGCTTTAAAGTGGTCACAGTGCTGTTGTGGCGAGAAAAAACGGTAGGAGGAAAAGATAGAAGTGGGAAATAATTAAGAGGCTGCTGTGTTTAAAGGCGGAGTTACCACATGCCCCAGCAAGTTCACCTCAGGTGTCCATCTACCTGAAAAAAGTAAAAACCTGTGTCCACACAAAAACTTGTACACGAATGTTCAAGTTTTGTTATTAATAGCCCAAATTAGAAACAACCCAAATGCCCATAAACTGACAAATAAAATGTGGGGTATCTATACAGTGGAATAAAAAGGAATGTAGTTCTGACACATGCTACCACACAGACGACCCTTTAAAAATCACTCTAACTAAAAGAGCTGGCAACATACTGTAAAGCCAGAGACAGAAAGTAGATTAGTGGTTACTGAGGGCTGGGGAGGTAAGGAGATGGGATATCATGGGGTGATGGCTAAAGGATAGGACTTCTTTTGGGGGTGATGAAGACGTTCTGAAGTTGATAGTGGTGATGGATACACCACTCTGTGAGTATATTAAAAATGTCGTAAGTATCCACTTTAAATAGGTGATTTGCATGGCATATGAATTATATCTCACTAAAGCTGTTACCAAAACTTTTAAAAAGCAGTTGAGCAACAAGAAGAGGTGACTGCAGTAATTCAGAGATAGTGAAAGAATAAGTGAGAAAGAGGAGGAGGAAGAGGAGGAGAGAGGAAGGGAGGGGGAAGATAACAACTACTTAGCCTGAGGGGCCTAACCAGCCAGCCGTTCCTGTCCTTCATGAGTCGGACAACGTCACACTTCTTCCTTCAGGGTCTAAGTCCAACTAAACTCTCTGCCAAGATGGAAATGTCCAATACCACAGCCACACCTCATACAGCCACCAAGCACCCGAAATGGCTAGCACAACTGAGGAAGTGAACTTTTAATTTTAACTCGTATAAATAGCCACATGTGGCTAATGACACTGGCATGGTTCTACATGATTTCAGATCCTCCCATTCATAAACACCTCTTGGCAGGGGACCCTCAGTTGAGCACTCATATCAGTTTGTGGATAGCCTCTCCCTCTTGGATCAACTTTCCCAAGGAGACTTTGGGTACCTAAAGGCAGGTTCCCTGAGGCTAATAACAGCAGCTGCCATTTGTTGAACCTACTCTGCCACCAGGGCTCTACTTGGCTCTTCATAAGCAGACCATTCATCCCCACCACAACTCTGCAATGTAGGTCATTTCCAAGGGGAGAAATCAGAAGGTGTTAGAGATGTTGAATGACTCTGCCTCCCGAGGAAGTGCTCCCCACTCAGGGCTACACCCCCTTCCCCACATTGGCATCTTCTCCCATTTTCATCTCTCCCCACCCCAGAGCACCAAGACTTCCTTCTATTTCTTAAACACATCAAGCTCCTTCCAGCCTTGGCCTCTCTGCCTCTGCAGTACCTTCTGCCCAAAACCATTCTCCTCCTGGTCATCATAAGACCAGCCTTTCCCTCATGATAGAGACTTTGCTCAAATGCCACCTCCTGAGAGGTCACCCCTAAAACAGCACCCTTCACAGACACTCTAAAACACAGAACTTTTAAAAATTTCATTTTAATACCTTGAACATGATTGTGTATTGTTTATTGTCTCTCTCTCTCCCCCTACTTAAAACATACTCATATACTCACAAGGACGTAAATTCACAAGACTCATCATCGATGGGTCTTGCTCACCCTGGGGTGGGTAGGGGACACTCAAAAATATTTGCTGCCTGCTCCAGTGGCTCATGCCTGAAATCCTAGTACTTTGGGAGGCCAAGGCAGAAGGATTACTTGAGCCCAGGAATTCAAGACCAGTCTTGGCAACAGAGCAAGACCGCGTCTCTACAGAAAATAAAAAAATAAACCAACCATGGTGGCATGTGCCTACAGTCCCAGCTACTTGGGAAGCTGAAGTGGGTGGATCGCAAGAGCCCAGGAGGTTGAGGCTGCAGTAAACTGTGATTATGTCACTGCCCTCCAGCCCGGGCAACAGAGTGAGACCCCAACACACACACACACACACACACACACACACACACACACACACACACACAAAATTGCTGAATGAACAGATGACATGGCAAAAAAACTCCAGAGCCTAGTGGCTGGCAGTATGGAAGTCTTTTCAAGTCTCCTGACGCAGACCTGTCCACCCACTTACCTGAAAGTACATGAACTTCATGAGCTTGGTGACCTCAGGTTCCAGCACCTCCACTGTCTTCTCGTAAATCTCCACTCGGTTGGGTTGCTCGTTGCATTTCACCTGCAGGGGGCAGTGGGACTCAGACATCCTGGTTTGCCCAGGCAGGCTGGTTCATACCTGTGATCTTAGTAACAGGGCCTGTTTTCACTCCACATGTGCCTCAATTTGGATGATAACTGGTCTGGCCACCCTATTGAGGGGAGGCTGATGCTTGCTGGTCTTGGTGGGTAGAAGTGCCCCCCAGAGACTGGAATCAGGCGTCCCGGGAACAGAACACCCCACCCTTTCTCTTTGTCCTGTGCCCCACCTGAGAGCTGGACGTGGACTGCAAGCTCTCCCTCTTTCAGTCCTTTCCCTGTCCTTGCTCCAGTGGAACCCAGCTGGATTCTATGCAGACAGAAATGTCTGTCCATTGCTCTGGATGTGCCTGGGACAAAGCTCCCCTCACCACACTCAGGCCGGTGTCAGCCAATGTAAGATGCATCCACCAAGAAACCCACGTCCCTTGCCCAGGGGTCTCCCAGAGTGCACCCTGGAGTCTCACATCACACTTATGACATGCTTGCTTGCCAAGATTGCTAGGGGGAGGCTGCATCTGAACAGGGAATGAAAATGAGTACAGAACAGTGTTCTCACGACTGTTTAGATATTCTTACAATGGTGGCAACACGTTAGATATTCACCAGTGGATAATTAAATGGACAAAATATGATATAGTCACACAATATCATTATCAGCTGGTACAAGGATGAGGCAGATCTATATGAAATGGCATGAAAAGAAGCCATAATAAACTGACAGGCAAAAAAAGCTTCAGAACAGTAAGTATCATTTGGTTCCATTTTTGGTAAGCAAAACAAAATAGCATCTGTGTGTTCATATGTAACACAGGCATGGAGAATCTGAAAGGATGCAAACCAAGCTGTTAACAGGGTCCTTGGCATCAGGGTTATGGGAGCTCTCTAAATGTCTCCTGCGTTCTTCCTTGCACACGAGGCCTCACTTCACTCCCTTCCACTTGGAGAAGCTCAGCTCTGGTTTGAAGGCAGGGTAGGGGTAATAATGCTCCCTGGAGGGGCAAGAAAAAGACACAGCCGGGACAGTCTCACCTGGGGGATGGCCCGGGAGCAGCTGCGCCAGGTATACAGCATGACCGCGTACTCGTGTCCTTCCTCCAGCATCTCATTCTGAAACGGCAGAACAGCCTCAGCAGGAGAAACCACAATGGTGCCACTGGGCATCTCAACAGCCCCCAGGCCCTCAGTTCTCACATTGTGGTCTGTGGAACAGCAGCCCAGGCATCATCTGGGTGCCTTACTAGAAATGTAGAATCTCAGGCCCTGTCCTGGGCCTATGGTATAAGAATCGGCATTTCAGCAAAATTCCCAGATGACTCCCAAGCACGAGAAGTTTGAGAAGAACCTACTTAAAGTATCCTCATCAGATGTCCAAGGGCCCTGCAAGCAGGCCACATTTGTCAAACAGACGGACAGCCATCTTAGAAAGAATGAGGCGGATCTGTGTTTCCACAGCAAAGGGTATCCCAGAAATGTTAGCAAAAAAAATAAGCAAGCAGCAAACCAGCATGTATAGGTGAAGAGGCAAAACAAGGCTGGGCATGTAGGTTCATGCCTGTAATCCTAGCACTTTAAGAGGCTGAGGCAGGAGGCTCACTTGAGGCCATGAGTTTGAGACTAGCCTGGGCAACATAGCAAGATCCTTCCTCTACAAAACTTTTAAAAATTAGCCAGGTGTGGTGGTGCATGCCTGTAGTCCCAGCTACTTGGGAGGGTGAGGTGGGAGAATCCCTTGAGGCTGGGAGTTTGAGGCTGCAGTGAGCTACACCAGCATCATGTCACTGCACTCTAGCCTGGGTAACAGAGCAAGATTCTGTCAAAAAATGAAAGAAAGGAAGGAAGGAAGAAAGAGAGAAAGAGAGACCAGCGGGGGGGGAGAGAAAGAGAGAGAAATAATTATAAATGTATTATTATATATTAAAATTTTGATGCAACATGCACCAAGCTATGAATAGCAAGCTCTCTGTGTGGCTGGGTTATTTTATATTCCTTTTCCTATCACATAGCATTAAACTGTTCACACTTACAAGAGCTCATGATACTATTTCATAAGCAGAAAAATTATTAGCATCAATTTTTAAAAACGAAGAAGTAGAGCAGATGACAAAACCAACAACAGCATGACAAGTGAACATGAAAAATACAGCGATGACTCATCCAACGAGACACTGCTACTGTGGAAAGAGCCCTGAAGTCAAGGTCCAAATATCCAGGCTCAAGTCCCAGCCTCATAATTTATTAGCCCTTCGGTCTATTGTAAATCACTTATCCTAAAATTCTCCATTTCATCATCTGTTAAATGATGATACTAATAGGCTCACAGAACTTTATGAGAAGTAAATGGAATACACAGACACACAAGGTTAGCTATAAAGTGAGTTAGGAAAATAGTCTGGCAGTGCCACAAAATGTGAACCATTGGACCCAGTAATTCCACTCTTGAGTGTATACCCAAGAGAACAGAAAACATACGTACATATAGAACCTTGTGTGGATTCAAGATTTGCTTGTAACACAAGAGTTCATAGCAGCATTATGCATAATAGCCACAAAGTGGAAATAATCCAATGTCCATCGACTGATGAATGGAGAGATAAAACATGGCATATCCATCTAATTGATTATTTGGCAATAACAAGGAATGAAGTGTGAATACTTGCTATGACATGGATAGACTTTGAAAACATTATGCTAAGTGAAAGAGGCCAGACACAAAAGGCCACACATTGAATTATTTACTTAGATGAAATGCCCAGAATAGACAAATCCACAGAAACAGGAAGTACGTTAGTGACTGCCAGGGAGTGGGGAGAGGAATTGCGCGTGACTGCTAACAGGCTGGCGTGTCTTTTGGGGGTGATGAAAATTAGGTGGTGGAGATGGCTATATAACATTGAGAATATGCTGAAAGCTACTGAATTGTACACTTTAAATGGTTTTACATCATGGAGAGTACACCTTGAAAAGTACAATAGCCGGGCTCAGTGGCTCAGCCTGTAATCCCACGCTTTGGAAGGCTGAGGTGAATGGATTGCCTGAGCCTGTGGGTTTGAGACCCGCCTGGGCAACTTAGCGAGACCTCATCTTTACAATAAATCAAAAATTAGCCGGACGTGGTAGCGTGTGTCTGTAGTTCCAGCTACTTGGAAGGCTGAGGCGGAAGGATTGCTGGAGCCCAGCAGGTCGAGGCTGTTGTGGCGGGAGTGGCCACGGCACTCCAGTCTGGGCGACAGAGTGAGACTCCAACTCAAGAAAAAAAAAAGAAAAGTACAATAAACAAATATTACTAAGGCATCTCTCTTTGTAAATGTATCGCTACAAAAATGAAACGTTTATGGATATATTTTGAAATCCACATGTCATCTATTTCAGAGTATCTTGTTAGTATAACATCAGATCTGCTGAGTGCAGTGCCTCATACTGTAATCCCAGTATTTTGGGAGGCAGAGGAAAGAGAATTGCCTGAGCCCAGAAGTTCAAGACCAGCCCAGGCAACAAGGTGAGACCTCATCTCTAAAACAAATTTAAAAATGAGCCAAGTGTGGTGGTGTGTGCCTATAGTCCCAGCTACTCAGGAGGCCGAGGCAGAAGGATTGCCTAAGCCCAGCAGGTTGAGGCTGCAGTAGCCGTGATCATGCCACTGCATTCCAGCCTGAATGACAGAGAGAGAATCCCCCCACCAAAAAGATCAGATTTAATTTACTTATTACAGTTGCTTTCAACAGCAAATGTCATTGACAAGTCACACTTTCAATTCTTAATTTAGAAAACCATTAAAATCAGCAACATGTTGTCTTCAAGACCAGAAAGAACCTACATTAAGCCTGTGTGTCTCTGTGCCTCAGAACACATGTAGAAAAGGGTACATGAGAGTAACTTAAGGTGCATGTGTCGTTTTTTAGCACCAAGCTCTCTGCTCACTGGAAAGTGAAATTCCAACTCATTCATTCAAAAATGTTTAACTGAGCACTCATGAATCCCTGGCTCTGTGCAATGTGCTGGGAACAGGGCAGTGGACAAGAAAAATGTGAGCTCTGCCCTACGGATAGTTTGGTTGGCCATCAGCCAGATCTGTTGTAGAATTATGCCTGGAATGCAGAAGTAAGGACAATGTGGTGGAAAGAGCTCTGGGTGGGGCCTTGGGAAACTTGAGTCCTGGACCCGGCTCTTCTTATCCCATCTTTTAAACATCTTGTAAATGTTATGGTTTCTTTATTCAGAGGTCAAAAGTTGGCCTCAGTCATTGGTTCTCAACCCTGGCTGCACTTTGGAGTCACCTGGGCAACACTGACTTCCAGGCCATGCTCCAGAAAAACTAAATATTTATCCTTGAGGTGGGGTCCAGGCACTGGTATTTTTTAACAATCCCCTGGGTGCTTCCCTTGTCCAGCCCAGGTTGGCAGCTGCAGGCCTAAGGACCTCTAAGGCCCTTTACATGTCTAATATTCTGCAAGTCCATGACTTGAACCAAATGTGAGTCCAGCTCAGATTTCAGGGCTGGTCGTGATAGATTGTGTCTCTCAGCCCCCTTCCCACCCCCAGCAAAGAACCCTCAACTCTCCCATGTAGTGGGTCAATGATGTGCCTTATGCACTTTCACATCCTCCTCTTTTCTCCGGCTATCCTGCCCTCTAAGAGGTCCATCTGGCTCAAGAGTGGGCAGGAGAAACACAAAAAGATGGACATCTAATGAACCCACCTTGCTGTAACTAAACTACTCTAGAAAGACTGGGCAAGGTACAAGGCAGACACTGTTAACTGAAGTGAGATTTTGGTGGTATCCAGGAGTGTCAACAGTATACCCCACTTGTGACTCATGTCTAAACCATATCAATACACTTCCTGTGTAGGTAGAATAATGATGTCCTAAAGATATTCGCATCCTAATCCCCAGAGCCAGTGTATATGTTATCTCACATGGGAAAAGGGCTTTGAGGTGTGACTAAGTTGAGAGCCTTGAGATGGGGAGGTAGTCTTGGATTATCCTTGGGGGCCCAGTGTCATCACAAGGGCCTTACACATGAAACAGGGAGGCAGGAGAATCAGAGCAGGAGATGCGAAGATGGAAGCAGAGGTCAAAGCAACGTGACTGCTGGCTGGCTGGAGGCCACAGGCCAAGTTATATGGGCAATCTCTGGAAGCTGGAAAAGCCAAGGAAACACATTCTCCCTAGAGCCCCCAGAAAGGAATGCAGACCTGACAGCACCCTGATCTTAACCCAGTAAGACCTATGTCGGACCTCTGATCTCAGAAACTGTAAGCAAAGAAATGTGTGTTGTTTTAAGCTACTAAGTTAGTGATATTCTGTTAGAGCAGCAATAGGAAATGAATATAACCACCCTCCAAACCAGCTCTCCTTTCCACTTCCGTCTTGGTGTCCCTGACCTGATTGCATTTCTGGAAAGCTCAGTTGGTGTGGTTCCAGCCGATAAGTTACATCCAGTGTCTCTCACAGCCATGTCCTCTCAGCCATCCCCTGGTGCCATCACCCCCATTCAGCCTTTACAGCTACCATGTAGGTAACTTTAATGATCCTGACCGATTTCTTTACCTCACTCACTCCTACTTGCAACTCACTCTACACATAACTAGCAAGTGAACCTTATCCCTCAAACAGAGTTCTGTTCACATCTCTCCTACAGATGAAGATTTACCATTTTTTTTGATTTTTATTAACTGAATTCGACACTTGTTATGGGCTAAATTGTGTGACTCCCAAACTCATATGTTGAAGCCCTAACCTTAACCATACTTCAGAATGTGACTGCATTTGGAGACAGGGCCTTGAAAGAGGTGGTTAAGTTAAAATGAGGCATTAGTGGGATCCTGATCCAATCTGGCTGCTGTCCTTACAAAAAGAGGAAATTTAGACATACAAAGAGATGCCAGGCATGTGTGCGTACAGAGAAAAGGTCACTTGCAGGTCAAGGACAGAGGCCTCTGGAGAAACCAAACACATTAAGGTCTTGATCTTGGACTTCTAATCTCCAAAACTGTGAGAAAATTAATTTCTGTTGTTGAAGTCTGTGACACTTTGTTATGGCAGCCCAAGCAAACTAGTATGCCCTGACACTTATCTATTTTCTATAAATACTACAAACAATTTCCCTATAGTCCAAACCCAGTCGGTCTCTGAAAATTCTGGCACCTGTGCCTTTGCCTGTGCTGGCTCTTCCACCTGGAATGGCCTATCTCCTCCCTGAATGATAAAATCCTAACTATGGGAGACAGCAGGGTCTTGTGGAAAGAGACCGGGAATGGTAATCAATCCTGGGTTTCAGGTCCAGCCTCATAAGTCACTAGTTCAGGAACCATGAGTAGCTTGCTTATTAACTATTCTAGGCTTCAGTTGGGTATTATTCTATTGGAGGCCTAGAATAAAATGGGTATAATGTTCCCTTTGCAAATCCCAGGGCGGTTTATGAGGCTCCAATAACATCATGCATGATAATACTTTACATACATTTTCAAGTATGACATACAAGGTATCATTACTTTCCTACAAGGCCCTGCTCAAAGCCACTTATTTCATCAAGCTTTCACTGATCCTCTCAAAAGTCCTTCAAAAATGGAGCAACTTTGATCATGACATTTATCCTTAACTTTGTGCATCTTTATTTGTCTGCAAAGCAAAGTCTAGAGCACAAGTTGTATAGTGAGACAGAGCTGGGTCTAGATCTGTCACTCATTAGTGGTAGGACACTGAGTAAGTTGCTTAACTATTTTGGGCTCTAGTTTTCCCCGTCTATAAAATGAATACATCTGAAGCCTAGAATAGTTATTATGCAAGCTATTCATGGTTCCTGAACTAGTGACTTATGAGGCTGGACCTGAAACCCAGGAATGACTACCATTCCTGGTCTCTAGACCTCATAGGGTTGATGTGAGGGGTAAACAAGATAATGCATCTAAAATATCTGCACAGAAAAAGTGTTCAATACATGGCAAGCCTTCCCATTTCCCACTTGACTCACTGAAAGTCGTCACATAACTACCCAGTGTTTATACAGTCCTCTGCTAGTACCAGGGACACAATACTTCTTGAATGAACAAGTAGAGTATATTAAGACAAGGCTACAGGAGATAACTGATACACTGCTATGGTTGAATGCATCTCCCAAAGTTCATGTGTTGGAAACTTAATCTCCGGGGCAATAGCATTGAGAGGTGAGACTTTTAAGAGGTGATCAGGTTGTGAGGGTTCTGCCCTTATTAATAGATTAATGCCATTATCATGGGAGTGGGTTTGTTATAAAGGATTAGTTTGGCACATTCTCTCTCTCTCTCTCTCCTCTCTCTCTGTCTCTCTCTCTCTCACCCACGTGATGCCTTCTGCCATGTAATGACATAGCAAGAAGGCACTTGGCAGATGCCAGCCCCTCCACCTTGGACTCTCCAGCCTCCATAATCAGGAGCCAATAAAGTTCTGTTCATTATAAATTACCCAGCCTATGGTATCTGGCAGCACAAAATGGATTAAGACAGAGTGTGAAAGGTCTATTGAGGTACAAGCAAAGCCTGTAAATACTGAGTATGGAATTCTTAAAATTTTGGTGCTACATGAAAAAAAAAAAAAAATCAATGAGCACCAAAGAGGAAGGGAAATGATCCCTCCATGATGGGTTAGACCCTAAAAAAGAAAATAATAATGGGTCCCATTTGCAAATAATATAGGTTACCAGCATCCTTGAGTCAATACTGTGTTATTCCAAAGTTAGAGTCCCTGTCTCTTTTTTGAGGCACCCTTTGCTCAAGACACAAAATTCCACACAGTCAGTATTCTAAAAAGCATAAGCCAAGGTAGAGTTGAAGCCCATGTTAACTCAACAGGAGCTCAGGAAAGTAAGTAGTGGGGATTAAGTTGGGCCCTAACCATGAGCAGGGTTTGCAAAGATGGAAGATAAAGAGGAACAGAACATCCTCAGGCACTGAGGGGATGGGGCAGAATGTAAGGATGGGCGTAAGCAGACCAGTCTGACTGAGGCAGGGGAAGGGTGGGTCTTGGAGTAGCTGAGCACATGCCCTGGCATGAGAAGTTGCCCATGGCCCCTCCCACCCTAGAAGGGAGCTTGTCTGCATACATGGGTTCCAAGGACTTACCATGCTGGAGTGGACCGTAGCCTGCTCAATGTACCTTGCAATGCCCGTGACAAATGCATTCCTGTCCTCGAAGTTCGTGTCAAAGTTAGCCTGTGGAATTAGAGGACAGGAACATTTGGTAATTGGAAAACAGGTCCAAGGTGGCTGGGTGTCTGGGGAGCAAATTGCTGCTAGCAAACACCACAAGCTCTGTGGAAACCTTCCAACCTGCCCAGTCCCTCAAAACCCCACTTGTAATCCCACCAGGCAGGAGCCAGTGGACATCTGCCACATCTGCTCCCCTTCAGTAATCAGGTTCATCAGCTGAGCTCCAGGAGAACATGCTGTAACTCCACAAGTCCAAATAGCTGCTAAAAGTTAGGATGTATGTCGCTTTAATTCAGCAGTTCCAGAAATACTCACCCCAGGATGCAGATACATACATACAAGGATAATCACAACAGCATTGTTTTGTAATTAAATAAATAAAAACTGTAAATGACCCAAATGTCCATCATCAGCAAAAAGCTAAATATATAATAGTCTATCCATAAATGGACTAATAAATACCATGAAGTAGCTAATCATAATGTGGTAGCATAGTAGTACTATCATGGAAAATACCCACAATTTTAAGTTAAAAAGTCAACTAAAAAAGCACTATAGATATTTTCTATGATTGTCTTTTGGTAAAAACATATATATCTGCATATCTGATAAAAATAGTAATAAGAAAACTTTTATTTGTTATATTTTTCTGTACTGCTTATAATAAAAATATATTTATAGAATTAAAAATTTAATCTGGGTTAGAAGATGTGAATAAACCAAGTTTATGACTTGAAACTTCAAGTGTGTGCTTAACAAATCTAACCACTGAATGATATTAAAAATATACAACATACTTATATTTAGTCTCCTTTAGCAGTCCAGGAATTAGCAAAAGGTCAAATACAGCTAAAAATTTCAAAAGAGTACATCCTTTCTTTCTTTTTTTTTTTTTTTTGGA